TTAAATAAAATGTTTATTTTTCACTAATATGAAAGCTGCTGGTTAAATAATTACCTATTTATATGATGTTTACATTTATGCTTGTTCCATGTTTCATTGTTGAGAGACCAGAAATCAGTTTGTTTAAATACAAGTTGTATTTATTAATTTTGTTCATATTTGGGATTTTTAAATAAATTAACCAATTTTTACATAAATAAACTTAATCGTCAAAAAGCGTGATGTTATGACTGTTATTACATATTTTCTTATATTTTAATCCTCTCTGACAAGCATATCAAATAAAAGTCCTCCAGTATCTTGTTGGTTGACTTGTCCTTTGCCCTAAAATGTCTTGTTCATGCACAATGTAAGATTTTGCTGAAATGACTCAACTGTGACACACTCCCTAATTACAGAATGTAACAATATTGTGTATAAAATGGCTCTGTTGGGCCAAAGGGTGAAATGTGAAGAAAATGTGTGTGTGGGGGGTATCTGACTAAATCTATTCATATAAGTATTCAACTTCAATTTTAACCTATAAAATTTTGCTCTGATACTTAAATGGCAACAGACAGAACAGTTTGGTTTCTGTGCTGAACAGTGAAATTGTTTGTACAAATGTGGACAAGTTATATATACATTATATGTCACAATTACAGCTTGCAGATTTCATGATGGCAGGGATGTTACAATATTAAACTCCTGTTCACTAGGATACAAAGTAGTAGACAATTCACTGGCTCTTTTTAGAAGCATATTAACATGCATGTGGCTCCCAAAGTGTTCTTTGATATGCTGTGCAACTGTTGGCCAGGTAATCATAAAGACTGTGTGCCCCCCAACTGAACTGTCATGCTTCTATCCCGGAAAACATCTGCACCACTCCTTGTCGAGCTGATCGCTGCGTCACCCTGTGTGTACTCTCCTGTCTGCTTGAGGTCTACCACACTGGGCTGTTTCCCTGACACCTGTTCCAATTCTAGAAACCAAAGCTTTATTTATTTGAATTTACTTACTGAAACATGCATTCGAAAATCACCAAGCACTAGGGCTGGCTTGCTGAATTAGCCATATGCCAGACCAAGAGAATGTGTCTGGGAGGGGATCCACTTGGCCAGGAGTTAAGATGCCTATGGCATAAAAGCTAATCTGGTTGATATTTATATCTTTGGAATTTCACAAAAAGGTAAAAGACATGATTCACACCCCTATCCTATGGCAGCTATGGTATTCAGGGGCCCTGGGCATATTTTTACACTTATTTATTTAGCAGACTTATTATTTATTTAACAAACAACTGAGAAAGTGGGGTCGGTCGGCCGGCCCTTGGAGCATGTGGGCTTGAGGGATGGCCCAGTGGCCACACAGTAAAATCACACTGCTGACCACAGGAATCGAACCAGTGACCATCTGATCACAGCACACTTATGCCACTGAACCGCACATATATTGCAGCCAGTGCTGTCCTCCAGTCAATAATGGATCTCAGCTTCTCTGCCTTCTGCTCTTGTGTGGACATCTGGCATGAATTTTTGATACTTGCCCTCATAAGTGTGACACCTTACTCTTCAATGTTGACCCTGTACTAACCATCACGATTGACTAACCATCACGATTGACTAACCATCACGATTGACTAACCATCATGATTGACAGAGAATGTACATTGTTATTAAATGCACATGACCCTACTGACATATATCAACACAGTCACAAATTGTGAACTACAAAGCCACTTACAAAGATTCTACTTACAAAAAACCCACAAGGCACAATACACCTGCATAAATTCTCTGACAGCTTCTTCATTGTAGTATACACAATGGAGGTAATTCAGAGTATTGGAGACTAGGGGAGGACTTTGTCTTGTGGTGCATGTAGAACTACCTGCAGCTCAACATCAGTCAGACAGAGAAGTTGGTGCCCTGAGATCAGTTACCATCCAGGGGGAGGAAGGCAAGATAGCGCAGTATTGAGTATCTGGAAGTTCATTTTAATGGCAGCCTGGACTGGACAGACAACACAGTGCAAGAAAAGTGCTGTGCAAGAAAAGGCAGTGCAGACTCTTCTTTCTGAGAAGGCTTGGGTCTTCTGAAGTGTGCAGCACAACCCTGAAGATATTTAACCAGTCCAAAATGGCCAGCATACTTCTGTACACTGTAGACAGCTGGGGAATTAAAATCAGTTCATGTGATGCTAAGTACCTGAAAAAAATCATTAGGAAAACTAGTTCCACATAGGACAGACCCTGAAGCCACTAGAGATTACTGAATAGAGAATGATAGTGGCAAAATTGGAAAACATCATGAACATTTCTGCCCGTCACTTCCATGGGGAAGCGCCACGGTGCTATGCAGGGGTTGCTGGCGATCTTTTCATCATTGCTGTCATCAAGCACTGCAAAGCCTCCTTCCAACATGCCCCCTTTCACCCCAGCAATAACAAGCAAGGACAGATTTTTTATAAATCTAAAACATCCATCCATTTTCCAGCCACCTCCAGTGTAATCTCTCTGCCCATCTCATTTGGTTTCACTCCAAAAGTTGCTCTCCAGGTAATTTCATCTTGGAGATGACAGTGCTGGCCTTATACACTTGCCACATGTCAACCCACAAAAGAAGAGTGACTTCAGCTGGAAACTGTGGAATTGTAAAGATAGTTTTCAGTTTAGATTGGCTTCAATAAGCCAAATATGTGTTATGTATCTCAGTTGTTAACATAAAAATGGGTACTGCTATATTTGTATGTCTTGGTTGTTTATTCAACTCTTACCAAGCCAAGACTATTCCACACATTGCACGTCTTCTATAATGTATATTTTCCATGGTACAGTTTCCTTAAATAAGTGCAGCAGCTGAATAAGTTAATGCCATGACCATATCATGACCATATGGAATATTTCCAAAGTCTAAAAACAAAGAGGATCCAGGTACCACATATGGACAGACTTAAATTAATCCCAATGAGACCCTCATCAAAGATCTTATTGGAGAACATTTTAAGACCTGTGACCAGGAACGACTTTTTGTGAATAACCTAAATTATGATACAAGAATAGCCTGCAACAACTTATGATTCCCATTCAAAATCCCAAAACAAAGAACCTCAGAAAAAAAGTGAGATTTAGTTTTGCTGCCATCATGTGGTCAAGAGCAGACTTGTTACGTGACTACCGTCCATAATCCTTACCAGTATAAATGTTTAGTATGTCATATTTTTTCAAAACGACCCACATCAGGAGAAGTGGTCTAAACATGAATGGATGGAGGTTAGTATTGTGCAGATGAATTTATAGGTTTATCGTTTTATAAAGTTTATACAAATACATTAGCAGAACAAATGAAGAATGTTATCATTATGCTGTCATAGAACTTGATTTTAAATTATACATAATGTTTACATATTACTATTGTTAACTATTTTCAGTATTTTAGATCACGGACAGTATAATTGAACAATCTGTATTTTCGTTTAACAAATAAGACACCTGTCCTTCAGTTCACTAAAAATTCAGGATCAAATACAACCAAGTGAATACGAAATATAAATTTTAATAATGATCACGCAAAATTTACTGATTTCGTGCATTTCTCTGAGCATTGTAATACACGTAAAAGTTTAGTCGACGATGGCTAAATCAATTGAGTAGGATCCCCGAGTTGGGAGCTGGGAAGGTGTGGAAATGACAGCTCTGACCGTTAGAACAGTCACCGCCAAGACTGCGAAAATGGCGCTTCCAAGTGGCTAATTAATTCGTCTGCTGCCAAACCGGTAACCTCAGCAACAAAAGCCTAAACACAGGGGAAAAGCACATCATAGTTAATCCGGTGACAGCCATGGCGCAAAAACCAAAAATGTGGCGCGTAACACCTAAGACCATTGTTTTAAGAAGAAAAAAAAACTTTTTAGGTAGCTTAATTTAAATAGACGAATGTCGCTATTTTACGACAATAATAACATTAAAGCACTAAAAATAATCTTATGTTTGGCTTGTTTATTAATGTATTACTCTTAGGAAACAGCATCAGCCGGTCCATCAAGCGCACCTGTCGCCAGTCTGATCGCGAAATAGGCGCCCCGAACACATATGGATATGGCAGGTGGCAAATCAACCGTTCCGCGGCTTAAGTGCCTCTTGGGTATTGTGACACATTGCCGTTAGCGGTCCAGTTGTTCAATCCATTTCCACTTTACACTATACTTTAATCCAGATTCCAGTTACACTACCACATAGTATATTATTCATTCTTATCGCAATAGACCTCTTATTTGGAAATTTAGAAGAGGTACTTAGGCCTATTAAAAACGTGGATGCTGTTTTACCATCTCATACAAATAAAGCGCTATAATCAGCGTTTTATTAACACATTACGGCCAGAAATTAAACTTCTTTCATTAAATAAAATGTGCACAGTTAATACATTATTTATTGTTAATAAATTCCGTTGTAAATCCCAAATAATAGGCCTAATCGTACCAATTAAAGCAGATATAGTTTACGTGTTACATTTTAATGGCATGGATAATTATGTTAGTAAAATATATCAATGGATTTCTGTTCCTAGTTCTTAAAGTTAAATTCATTTTTGGTTATAGGTCATTATTTTGTTTAAGTTTTAATCAAACTACATCATTCATAGTTAGGGCTATCATGCGTCGTACGGAAAGCCGTTATAGATTAGGCCTACGTTGAATTATTACAAATATTGAACATCAGTTTCTGACATTTGTACACTTATAAAATGCTAATTATACCCCGCGGTTGTATTGTTCAGTTTGGCGCAACTTCTTTCTGTTTTAACTTAAGGAAGTTAACATGAACGCACAATATAGACTCTAAATATTAGTTTCCATGGTAATCGCCGAGGGAATCCTTAGCTGTGACGCAGAGCACGATTCGCTCTCTCCAATAGCGTGCGAGGAAAGGTGATTCCCGCGACGCGTTCCGCCCTTCAGGTTTATTTATAGGATTTTGGAAGCGGCTACATGCTGCAGGTGCAGTTGGACCAGTCACCGCAGACTCCAGCTGCCTAGACTTTAGTTTGTAGAGTGAACGAAGTCACTTTAGAGCGTTAAATTCTAACTTAGTCTTTAAGGAAACCTCCGTTTGGGCTTCTCCGGAGGAATGGAATGGAAGTTAAAAAAATATTCCCGTCCCAAAGTGAAAACAGAAGGAGCGATGGTTTTGGTAAGTTATATCTTGGTTTACTGTGAGGCTATTAATAATGCATCTCATTATGCCAGTGTACGCATAGGGATTCTATGCTCTGTATAAAATGTCTGCGCGTGTGTTTCCCCTCTAGGCAAACATTATGAGAGTACTTTTCTAAAGATTTTTTGGTTTCAAAAGAAAATATCCCTTTGGTGCTGTGAAGGTAAGGCTCTTACAAATAAAGTGGGGCAAATGAGTGGAATACGAGTGTATGCGTACCATTGTCTTTCACTTTGCTTCTCCTGATTTGGTCCTTGATCAAAATCCAATACTATTTAAGTGTATGTTTGTCATTGGAGGACAAATGGTTAATAAGATTTACCTTACAGAATCCATCATTCATGCAGATATTGCATTATGGATGTGTGACAATGTGGCTCTGGTGGTTATTGAGTGATTGACATCTGACAGTGACACCCCCTTCAGTCAGTGACCTACTCTGCTCTGCCATTGATGTTGTTACTTTAACAGAACACAATGAAAACAATTAAAAATATGAGGAGGTGGACTTGTTATATGCTGTGCCAAAATGTATAAAATTGTATTTGAGGGTTTTGAATATGTGCATAAATGGCATTTATAGAGATGCAAGTGTACTGTATGTGGCTGTATGACAGAGCATGATGCTATAATCCATTATGTGCCTATACGTGAATTTGAACATATATCAGCGTTTTTGGACAGTCTACCTGTTTCTTAGCAACGTCCCAGCTAACTGCCTATGTACGCATGTGTGCTTTTGTGGGGGAAACATGAGAAACTTCTGATTGGTTAATAAGCAGTGTTAACTTGTGATTGGTTAGCAGGCAGTGTAAAGCTTGCCGACTGCCAGACTTCTCAGCTCAAGGTACAGCTGCCCCCTAACTTCTCAACTTGCAGCCCCAGACCTAAAGACTAGACCGAATGACATTTCTCATGCAGACAAGGGAGTGTCTATCCCCAAAATATTAGTGTGGTTTATTCCTCTGTCAGTTGTTCTCTTTCAGATATTGGAATATACCATTACTCAGGTAGGGTGCACCTCCAATCCACTTCTGTTCTTTATTGATGAGCATCTGAAAGGCAGTGTCTTGTTAGCTGGTCTGGATTTAATTTGCCAGCTTACCTTTTACTGCCCTCCAGCAGCTCGTATGAACTCCGTCCGTGTCCGTGTCAGGAGACACCAAGCTGAACTGAAGAACAGCTTTATACTTTATCTGTTGTCAAATGAATATGGATGAAACGGTTGCTTTTTCCAAGGGAAAAAACATTAGAGTACCCTGATTTTAGCACATAAACTGTAGTGTAAATGTGTGATACTGTGGAGAAAGAGCACAGCACCATATTATCATTACGCATTTATGAGGAACCTATGCAGGCAACCCAGGTGCAGCCAGGATGCCCTGACCAGGCAGCACAATGTTAGCTGGCTACGCAGCAACCTGCCAGTATGCGCACTTCTGCATCGAGACGTGCACTTTAACCTTCGTGTCTGCAATGCAGAGAGGGATAGGCAGCCTACTGCAGGCGTACGACGCGCTGCGTGGCAGAGGTGTGGAAAGTGCGCTCTGATCTGGCAGTGTGGTGTTAGCTGGCTGTGTGTGTCTCAGCTGCTGTACCCACTTCCACATCAGGCCGTTGCACCCACAAGGTCAATCGCTGAGCTCATCTCTCCAGTGAAGGTGTTGAGGCATAATGTAGCCTGTGTATGGACGGGCGATGAACTGGTGCAATGAGAAACAGTGTGGTTATCGCTAAGGTGCCTGTCGCTTTGGCCCACATGCGTAACATGACCCATTGTGATTCTACAGTACATGTGACTCTGCTATACTGAGATACTTGATACAGTACAAGCATGTGATTCTGTGACGAGGGCATTTTAAAACCTGAATGAAACTTTTTATATAGCTCTGGAAAAAAAAATTAAGAGACCACTCTATTTTTAAAACAGTCTGCATTTTTAAATTCTGGTTTAACCCGGGTTCTGCTGGCAGAAGGCTACACTGAGCAGCAGGTTGCTTCCAGGTTCAAAACTTCTAAGACAGCAGTATGCAAGAACAAGGTGAAGCAGGAGACACTGGGAACGACCAGAAACCAGCCAGTAGAGGGCAGAAGCGACTTTATAATGCCAGAGATGGTCATTAACTTAATCGACAGTTTCTCATGAACCGGAGGATGATATCAAGTGACCTTCAAAAGGAATGGGAAACATTAAGTGGTGGTGTGAATTGCACTGCTAGGACAGTTCGCATCAGGCTCCTAGAAGCAGGACTGAAGTCCCAAAAAGCAAGTAAGAAGCGCTTCAGTAATGAGAAACAGAGCAGCACCAGGCTGCAATTCTCAAAAATATATATATTATTTACTGATGCACACTCATAAAGTGAGAAATGAGTGAAACAAAAATGTCACCGAGGTCTCTTAATTTTTTCCAAATATGTATATAATACACATTAATCTGTCCATAAGGGCTGTTATGGTCAACCAAAATTACAATTGTACACATTATGGCCATGTTATTCTTTGTAATGATAAACATCCCTGAATACGCTTTTATTTCTACATAAGACAAAAATATATATCATTTATCTATTTTTAAGTAAGCGATAGATGGTACCCAAAACATGATGGACTGATTCAGTGGAAATGCGAACACAGGCTTAATATTTAAAGGCCGTTTCTGAAAATCTTCACAACAGAACTGCTTTGCACAGCAGAACTCTGTGAACACACTGGCGGGTCATGTGGTATGGCTTATTGAAGACCGTACTATTTCCTTGGATTATGCAGAGTGAGGCGAAATAAAACTTGTTTGTGAACGTGACAATACTACTACTCCTTAATTTTGCACAACTACACTTGCACTAATAAGTTTCATAGGATGCAATATTCATGGTTGAACAAGATAAAAAAGTCGTGCAATGTCAACATGGATGTAAAACAAGCTGCAATAAACAAAGTAACCAAGGTCCCGTCATGCACAGAGTGTGAAGGAGTCAGTCAGGCGGAGTCTCTCAGAATGACCCATACAGCGGTAGTAGGTCCTGTACAGATCAAAGCGCACGGACACAGATCAGTGCTGCAAGAGCTCAGAATGAGGCCGTCCACTTAACCACTGGGACAAGAATCATTTGTACATAAAGGGATGTAATTTCAAATCCATCTTCTTAAATGTTGTTAAATTCCCTGGAAACATTTCACAATCACTATGACATCACAGGTACAGGTGCCCAGATACCTGTGCTATATGGTCAAAATCTCATTGCCATTTTTCCTTTTGATGCTGCTCTGTTGAAGACTGCTTTGCAACTTCTCATCTGTATTATTGGTATTTCAATATTCCATGGTAAGTCTAACAAAAGAAAAAATAATACAAAGGCCACAGGACAAAACGACCATATGCAATGTGATTTAAAAGAAAAACAAAACAAGTGGAAACCCCTTTTAAAAAGCAGTACAACCGGACAGGACATACAGCATCCTCCACAAAACTGAGGTGGTGGCTCAGAGGGCTTCAAAGACAAATAATAAAAAATCCCACCTTCAAAGGGCAGAGAAACAAATCACAATAAGTCCATCCAAAAACAAGGGGGCTGCTTATCAGAGCTCCACCCTCTTCTTCAGTATAATTTCTCTTACAAGGGCTGATGCCTCTTTTCGGATTTCTTCCATGGGTTCCTCCGGTCTCCAGAACCGGACCACCTTCCCTTCTGGATTCACGAGGAACTTCCAGAAGTTCCACTTCGGCATTTTCTGGACCGTGTCTGGCACAAGGCAGATGAAGGGAAACAAGTGGTTAATTTTTCATATTTCAGTAGTTTTTTTTTTTAACCTGCTCGTACAACACACTCTTGACACGCCACAAAAAATAACAGTATCGAAAAGGTTAAAAATAAATGATTATTAGTTCAAGAGTAGTTGCTTCAAGGTGGTTTGGCTACCTGTGATGTATTTAAACGCAGGGTCTGCTTCGGAGCCCATTATTTTGATCTTGCTAAAAATAGGAAATGTGACACCAAAGTTAGACTTTGCAAAGGCTTCGATATCGCGACTGGATCCAGGTTCGGTGTCCCCGAACTGGCCGCAGGGAAAGGCCAGGACGTTAAAGTGAGACGTGCCCAGCTCTCGATGCAGCTCCTGCAAACCCCGATAATTGCTCTCTGTGTGTTCACAGTGGCTCGCCACGTTGACAACCAGGGACGCCTGTGAGAGAAAATCGGCACCCGTAAAACTAAACTGCACGCCGTCGTTTTATTTATTTGTTTTTTTTTTTTGCTTAATAACAAAATACAGTGTATCGGCTAACCCATGGCCAGTTCAACAAAGCATTTAAAACCACTGCAGCATGCACGGGTCGTCTACAACTTACTTTTCCTCTGTATTTCTCCAAAGAAACTGTTCGGCCCCTCGCATCCCGTACATCAAACGAATAAAAATCTTTAGGCTTTCTGGGTTTAAAGAATTTAGTTTGTAGCAAAAACAATGTGCCTACGCATATAGCTGTAGTTAGGAAAAAAATTAACTTTCGAGCTTTTGGACCCGATGGTTTAACGGGGTAACCCAAAAGCGGCTCCATTTTGAATAATGGAGAAAGGACCGGGTGGGATTTAAGGAATGGATTTCTGTGAGATCAGCGGGCAGGCATCACGTTACAAGGAAAGGCTAAGAGAATTCCTCCTTCATTGTAAAAGCACAGAAACACCTTTTCCTATTTGGGATTCATTATCAAAAATATTTTCTGTAATATTACGTTGTCATACGGAAATTTTCCTCATAAAACGTGCGGACGAAGCCTACGTTATTTTTCCGCCAAGTTTTGATGTGGAATAAGTCAAAGTTAAACTTCCAATGTTATTATATTATTAACACAACGAACAGGTAACAACAGCGAGTTTGAAATAATTACGTTTATTTACGTGATCATGTTGGATAGTGACCGAAACCCCAAACAGGAAAAGCGTTTGCAGGTGGATGATTGGATGGACGGGATAATCGATAAAGAACACATAGGCTATACATAGTGCTAAAACTATTGCAGAGTGTTTAGATGAGTCTGTAGTTCTATTAACGAATGTGGAATACAGATTGAAGGACAGCAGGGAAAATATTAAAAATGTAAAATGCACATATTTAAAATTTCATACAGTCTTTTTTTTCTATTCATAGAGAGCCACAGATATCTCATATAGACGTTTTAAGAGGAGGATCTTGAGTCGGCTAAGTACTGAATTCCCCCTAGCGAGCAGCCCGAAGACCACTAGATGGCAGCACTCCTACATCACAGAAAATGACACCGTTTGTCAAAGGCTGCCTCTGGATTCTCCGCCGCGTTCAACCTCACTCACTGAAGTACGTCTGGGTGACAAGGAGACATTACATACCCCAGGTTAGAGTCGTCTTGTAGACTTACTGTTCCCATACACCAAGAAATATATGTACGCAAAATGATATCTATAATAACGGTAAAGCATACACTTTTTTTTGTAACAGACAGCTAGACCTAAATCTCTTTCTAAAACAGAAACTATGGAACTTTGGAAAACCAGAGTAGCCAGAGAATGCCACTATAAGGTGTGCAAATTAGTAACATGGAACTCAGTCTCTGTGAGCTTCATGTGACACATAAAGGAGAATTTTGTGACACGTGTTAATTTTGTGAAGTATGTTGTTGTTAATGATATGCATGTAGTTACACAGTTTAGTTGTCAATATCAGTGCCATAATCAGAGTATTATAAATAACTTCATGGTTATTTGCAAATTTACATGAACACTAGCTGTTTAGATTTTTTTTTCTCAATATTAGGTATTATTTTTTTGTCGGTCTCATTTTTTATGTAACATTTTAACACATTTTTATTTAATGCATTTTTAACTTGTATAGTCTGCTTGGAGGTTTAAAATGAGACAACCAAAATATGTAACCATTAAGTACTACACTAGTACTGTAATTCAGAACTAAGTTTGTATCCCTTTACATATGTAGGCCTTTTAGCATGTCTGTCATTTTAATGACCTAGTTTGATGTTTCAAATCAAGGTTGATTTTAATGAGTTACTTCCATTCATAAATGTGTTATACTGTTTTTGGTCGACACGAAACTATATTGTAAGTTCTGCATGATAGACAACAGAGCGTCCTGGCATAGGAATGGGGAAAAGGAATAGGACCTTTATTTTGATATGGAAGTTGGAAATGGGTCAGAGAATATGGGTGGGGCTGGCAAAAAATTAGAACTAGAAAGGAAAGCACACAAGAAAAAACAGACATTGTGGGAAATGCTAAAAGAGGCCTCGGCATCTGGCATTTTCATGAGTAAAAAAACAATACCTCTACAATAGTAAAGAGTGAATAAATGTGCTTGTCATCTGACCCTGCTATATACTGTGTGTATACACACACATACACACACGCACGCACACACACAGGTTTGTAATTACAGTGGTACCTTGGTTTACGAGCATAATTCGTTCCGGAAACATGCTTGTAATCCAAAGCACTCGTATATCAAAGCGAATTTTCCCATTAGAAATAATGGAAACTCATATGATCCGTTCCACAACTCAAAAATATTCATATAAAAATTATTAATACAAAATATAAAGTAAAAATACATAAAACAAATTAACCTGCGCTTTACCTTTGAAAAGAATCGTGGATGGTGTGAGGGAGAGCGCAAGTAAAAACAAGAAAAACAAGGAGCGCATATGTTTTTTGATGATACTTGGCACTCATAAACCAGGACTTGCTCGGTTTCCAAGTCAAAAATTTTTTTCTTGCGGAACACTCGTAAACCGCGTTACTCGTAATCCGAGGTTCCACTGTATATCTTTGTAGGGACTCTCCATTCATTTCTGTGGGGTAAACTCTAATCCCAACATGACAACCTTAAGCACTGCCCGGCCCTAACCCACCCATAGAGCATAATCTGAATTTAGGTACAGTAAGAAGGTTGGAGCCCTTAGTGTGCAGAATGGAGTATAAGGAAGAAGGTCAGATAGATATTGAGGGGCAAGTCCATGGAGAGCTTTGTAGGTGATTAGTAAAATTTTATAACTGATTCTATAAAGTAACATATATGGAATTATGCACTGACTAAAAAAGTATTAAATAAAAAAAAATAATCTGTTGGGTGGGGGGGGGGGGCATCTGTGTGGGTTGGGAATTAGAAGGTTGCCGGTTCAAATCCTGTGGTCAGCAGAGTGATGCCACCATTGGAGCCTTGAGCAAGGCCCTTAACCCCAATTGTTCCCGGGACTGGCTGACCATACTGTCCCCTCTACGTCAATTTCATGAGGTGGCCTCCTAGGATGCTTTCCCAGCTGTCCTGCAGGAGTTCCCACATATGCTGAGCACTCATTTACCTGTTTTCCTTCACTCTCTGATCAAACTCCTCCCAAACCTTTTCAACTGTTTTTTGATCAGGTGGCCAGGTCATGTGATGCATCACTGTGTCACTCTCCTTTGTAGGTGGCTTGGCGTGTCCAAACATTTGACTGGTACTGTGTGTGTGTGTGTGTGTGTGCGCGCGTGCATACTCATTTCTGAAGTGTGCCCTTCCATCCATCTTTCAGTCATTCATCCTGGTCAGGGTTGGGGGAACGAAGAGGAAATTGAATATTGAAAATAAAGACATTCATTTTGGTACCATTAGTAACCTGCTGCTATTTAACCTCTCATTTGTGTGGTCAACAGATGGAGAATCTCCTCTAGATCTTGATAAAAGAGGCTGGGATGTCAGTGTTAAGTCTCTGCTTGAAATGTCACGTGAATGCAGTCGAGGGCAGAGTGATGGTTTGAAAGTGAATGAGCAGGTAATGAAATAACATGAAAGTGTGATAATCGGTGTCATTGTTTTCATTTTTACTATCCAGGTAGAGTCTGAACAACATCAGTCAGTTTGTGCTTCGCAGAGCACATTACATGATTCTTCAGTTGTGAGATATTCTTTTATAGCATGCAGACAGAGTTTAGGTTCGAAAAGCTTCTGTATCTGAATGACGTTTTCTCCAAACAAGGCCAGCTGTCACCTGTAACCAGAGTTGAATAGATCAAAGTAAAAAAACAAATCTTGCCTCTGGATTTTTTTACTATCAGAACTATCCACTTCTACTTGTAACTCAGGTGCTGCACCACTCTCCACTAGCTCTTCAGCTTTTGGCAAACACTGACAGAGACTCCAGAAAGACTATTTCGGTTATGAGAGATCCAAATCAATTGCATGTTTATGACTGTAGCAGTGATATACAGAAAGGTGGTGGGGGATATGTTTACATGTTAGCCAGAAGCCTAGCTCATACCTCACATGAATCTTGAAGAGCTTGTTTTAGTGACATCCAGCAGCATCTTCCTTCCCCTGGATCTCTCTGCGGTCTTATCTCTTTAAAGTGAGATCACAATCTCTGACGATGTTAAAGTAGCTGTTACAAGCATACCATTTTACACAGAAGCGTCTATGCCCAGTCAAACATTTCTAAGCATTTTCTCACTGCCCTATTGTAATTCCTGTGCTTTGTTGTCTCCACTTGAAGCAGCATTTGAAATTGTTTCTTGTCCGCAGGATTGCATTTGGAAAGAATCTGAAGGTGATGAAAGTGAGTCTATGAGGAAATAGGCCAGCATTTACGTCATGAGTTTCCCAAAATACTTTAAGTTGCGTCACCTCAAGGTCAATAATGCATGTTTATATGGTCTTGTTTATGCAGTTTTATGTATACACAGTATGTTTCAATGCCACGTGCAAAGATGAGGTAAGAGTTATGGTAAAGGCCAGGGTTAGATTTAATACTAGACCTAGAGTTAAGCTTAGGGATAGAGATGTCATCAGGGTTAGGTATAGGATAAGGTTTACAACATAGCTTAGGGTTGAGTTTAATGCTAGACTTAGGGTTAGGGTTAGAGCTAGGAGTAGGGTTATGGTTGTTATTAGGCTTAGAACTAGGGTTAGGGTAAGGATTGCCATTAGGTTTATGGCTATAGCATTATGGTTAGGACTAAGGTTAACATTTGGGAAGGTAAAGGTTACAGAGTTACAATTTGGTTTGATACTTAATATAAAGTTTGGGGTTTAGTCCTAGGCTTACGGTTAAGGTTATATCGGGCTAGATTTATGGTTATGCGTGGCTAAGAGTTATGGCTAAAGTTAGGGATGGGTCTCATATTAGACTTACAGTTAGGGTTTGTGTTGCTGTCAGGGCTAGGACTAGTGATGGGATTACATGTTTTGTTATGTTTATCTATGATGGCACCTTGTAAACAGCAGTATTAATACACTGGGTTCAGTTAACCTAATTTTGCCTTATACCTGTATGCTAGTCTAAGTCCTTAGCTCAAGTATTAAAAAGCACCTTAGTCACTATGGCACATGATATTTTTCTCATTTATCCTAAATTAATCCATAAATTATTACTGTTTTTATGATGATCAACCTGGCAAAAGATTTGTCAAATGTCTCATTAGTCTTGTCTGAAAGTGTGAGAAAATGAAGTGCAGCGGACCAAAGGCTGTGGTCACACTTCTGGTTTTTTTGTTTGTTTTTTTTACTATAACATGGGGTTTGCTGATCTTACTGATCTTGAAAGATAATGCTTATGCTTACTGCTAATGTCACACCACAGCCCTGTCACCACATGAAACAGAAATGTGCCTTCCTCCTATATAAAAACATACAAAGGTGTTAGAAAAGACACTAAACTTTGGTAAACAAATCCCTTGAATCTTGATATCTGCATAAACAAACAGAGGAGAAATTATAAGAAATAAACACCATAAAGGGCAAAAGTGATGTCTGTAGTTAGTAGAAATAATGTGATATTTGTAGATAAACTAACGACAACGTAACTAAGTGATGTGCATTGCTGTGTTTCAGATCCCTGCTCTACACCCCTGCCCTTCAGTATCATTGAGACAGCTCCCAGCATGCCTTGCAGTGTCTTCAAAGCAGAACGGCAGATGGCAGTCCCTGGACTGCAGGATGACTACTGTAAGTTAAACACATGCAGGGTTCCAGTTGTCATGGGACAAAATGACAAAATATTCATGCAATAATGAAGGGGCTTCACTCCCAAACTTCATGCTGCTCCCAGAGTGCTCGAGCGTGGTTATGAGTCATTAAAACTATGCTCTGCTGAGACATTTGGCACAATAAACTTTATTATTTGATTATGCAAAGTGCGACCTTTTTCCGTTTGTTATTTAAAAAAATGACAAAAAACCATCCCCTTTGAAAATGCACCACCCCACACCGTCCTCCTAAATTGTTCTGTGTAATTTCACTCACGTAAATGAAAATATTTTGACTATATCAGGGGTACTCAACTGGCGAACTCTGGATCTGGACCAAAACACAGTGTAGTTCAGACTATGCGGTTGGTCCTCTCCCCTCCTGCTTGCTAAATGTTATTGCCAGATTTTGATTGTGCTCCTCCCCAGTAAATTTTGCTATCAAGGACAAGCCTCACCCCCCCACCCCAAAAATTTGACCCCCACTATTGAAATATTTTTACAACATGAGCACTGAACACATGTATGGTGCAAAAACTAATACAGAAGCACAAGTCCTGGAAGAAAACAAGCTTTGTGATTAGTGGTATGCACACCATGAGATGGTTAAGGGAGTGATTAATTTGCTTTATTTGATTCCTTCCTGTGCTGACAGATCAGTCACAGATAACAAAAAAACAATGATATTTACAGCTGCATCTTTAAAAACATCTGGTTCTAGAATCTGAGCAATGTGATCATTGAAAGAAAATCTTTTTTGCCCTGGATGTATTGCGCTCTTGCCAATGAAACTGGTTCTCCTGACAATTAGATTTTCTCTAATATAAATGTAGTCTGAGGTATAATAGCAACAACCTAAGTGACCAACATCACATTCAACGTATTGTAGAAAATCTGTTTTATCAAGACTTTAAGGTTGCATAATGTGTTCATTTAAGTAATTTTTCACACTGTAGTCAATTGAGTAACATGTTGTCTTCAGATCTCAACCTTCTGGCATGGAGCGAACAGGATATGGTTGTACTCGGCTTGGCCTCCTCAGTGTGCATTTGGAACGGCAGCACTCAGTCGCTGCAGGGGAGCCTTCACTTAACGCCCCACACCTCTGACCTTTTTGGCCCTTCCTCCTGTCCTCTGGTATCTTCAGTTGCCTGGAGTAAAGATGGCCAAACCCTTGCCATTGGGAAGAGTGATGGGGAGATTCTGGTAAACCTGTCACTAAAGTCTCAAGCTGCCTAGAATTGTCTCCTGTCTATTTAAACCCAAAACTAAGCCAGATGGAATTCTCCTTTCTGTCTCTAGCTATACAGTTGGAGTTCTCCAGCCATTTGAGACCAAGAGTCTCTTTCTGAATTTGATATGAAGGGTGATATAACAGTAAAGCCTCAATGGACCTTTGTCTTTTTGCAGCTGTGGGATGTGGAACGCAGGACCAGCCTTAGAAAACTAACAGGACATCTATCATTGGTGGGGTCCCTAAGTTGCAACCAGTACATCCTCAGCAGGTATAATTGGGAGTATTTTGTTGTATGGATTAGCCATTCCCTTTGTCAATTGAATACCTGGTAATTCTGCCATCATTAGCTGTATAATCAAAGGCCTCATTAAATCCAAGTAGAGGGACAATGTCAGATTATGTATAAAGAGGCAATATATGATTTCATATTATGATGAATGATATCAGTGATGGACAGGCTCACCTACTTCATGTAATTGGTTGTGTCTCTGATAGTGGCTCAGTTCTCGGATTGATCCATCACCATGATGCACGGGTGGCTAGACCTGTGATTGGTTGGCTCCGGCAGAAGAAGGGCATTTGTGGTCTGGCGTGGTGTCCACATGGGAGCAAACTGGCCAGTGGAACTACCGACGGCCTCCTTAGCATCTGGCCTGATGATCCTGGGGCTACAGGGAAGTGTCTGCCAATGCTGACCATATCCCATCCAACCGCAGTCAAGGTGAGATCTTCCTGCAAATAGACACGTTTGAAAAGTATAAATAGATATTATAAGATTAGAGTGTTTGGGATCAATCTTAATCCAGGTGGAAAGCGTATTTTGATGAGCACATAAGCTTTAAGGTTTGGCTGACTCTGTACTGTCTGTATATGTGATCATTTCCTGTTTGTCGCTAGTCAAACCCTCTCACACTATTCATACCAAGACCCTGTTTGTCAAAGAAGCACGTCTGAGTACGGACTACATGCATTCCTCACCACAGGCCCTTGCCTGGTGTCCTTGGCAGCTGGAACTGGTGGCTGTTGGTGGGGGCAGGCAGGATGGGGCCTTAAGGGTCTGGGACACTCATACAGGAGTCTGTCGGCAGTCAGTTCAGACACACTCTCAGGTGGGAGACTGTTTGCCATCACAGAAGCTCTTATTTGTAAATGCCATACGTGGCTAGTATAATTAATCCTGCTTCTCCATACAACCTTTTCAAAAGGTGGATTTGATCAACTGTTATGTTTACTAGTTGAGTGTATGACAGAATCGATGTTGCTACTGTATCTCAGATATGTTCATTGTGCTGGTGCCCAGCCAATGAGGAACTGCTCAGTGGCCACGGCCTTCCCCAGCATCAAATCACCTGCTGGAAGATGCCGTCCATGAGCAGAAAAGCTGAGCTGTACGGTGAGTGTACATATGTGTTACAATTCTTACTCATCTGTCCCTTTTCCATGGGTCTCATTTCATACTCAGTGGCAACATGTCAGCAGGGAAACATCCTTTTCTTTGATTTACCACTAGAGAGGATGTTGTGGTCAAACAGACGACTCACATCCATTCTGTATTGGATTCGTATAATACATCACATACAAAGCTGGGACATGTTGCATATGGCCAGAATGATTGCTACAGAATATATTTTTTTGCACATAGAAGTTCCCAATTTTGTTAAAAAAAATTGCCATGAAAAGTGATTTAGAAGAGTAATAATGCAGTTTTGCCAGCGACATAGTTTGGGTACACCTTAGGTTCTCTCAAACCTCAAAATGGCTTTGCTGAGGGTATCAGTTTCATGGTTGAAAAGAAAATGTTACCAGAGTGAGAGTGGCATTGCTGGCCGTTATGCCTCTGCTTGCGTTACAAACCTCATTGTTTGAGAAAGTGTTTTGTAGTATAATAAAGATGGTTTTATATGAGGTGAATATCGTTCCTGCAGTAGTGTGATTGTTCAGTGGTGGGATCCATTGCATGATAAATGAAGGAACCTTGGGGAAAAAATTAATATATAGTTTTTAGTTTGGTGGTTTTGGTTTATGCTGGTGATGTGACTTGTGCCATGTGGTTGTCCAGTTAAGTTAGTTTGAAATTAAAATTGGTTATCTTGTTAGTTTGGGGTTTGATAACCCCAGGAGCAGAAGACTCTCCACAGGATAAGACCCCCAAATTAAGGCTTATAAAGAACAGTAATAGCCAAAATTGCTTGGAAAGGATAATGTTTCCTTTACTCAGAAATGAGATTCATTCATTAAATCAGTATTTCTCCACCCAGTCCTTGGGGACCCCCAGATAGTCCATGTTTTTGCTCCTACTGGGAGCTGGGAGGAAGCAAAAACGTGGACTGTCTGGACGTCACCTAGGACCGGATTGAGAAACACTGTGTTAAACTACTATCTCAGTTAGTATATCAACTGCTATTAAGACATTTATTAAAACTTGGTTTTCACATAAGGGAAGAGGCTCAGCACACCTCCAAACTGCTCTTTCTCTTCCTCTTTTACATATTTCCATCATTCTAAACATTCACATGTGATTGACCATTAACCAATCAAGTAGCAATTGAAGATGACCTTCTTAAAAGCTTCACCCAACCTTCCCTCTGCTTACAGTCTTTATGTTGAGCTCCCCACCATCTCGATGAAGCTGCTCATTCTAGTCCCATGGTCAAATTTCAATTTACACAGCTATAGGAGCCATCATATGTAGCATCGCCTGTTATTTTCATTCTGTCAGGTCACAGAGGACGTGTCCTGCACCTGGCTCTGAGCCCATGTGGAACTCGCATCTTCACGGTGGGCTCGGATCGCCAAGCCTGCGTGTGGAAGCATTCGGACCAACTGATCTGGCCCCGAGAGGACGCTGACGGACATTACTGTGAAAATCGACAATGCCATGAGACGTTATGAAGATGTTATGAGAAAATGATGCCTGGGACACAGGGCTGTACCTGTAGCTCAGCGTTCCCATCAGAAAGGAAAGAAACATGGCCACTCTGCGATGCTGTTTCTCACCGCTAACTTTCAGATACTCCTTACAGCGCTGCATGTGTGATGCCGTCCTCGTGGTCGGACCACTGAGTCAAACCCACCGGTGGTCTCAGCTCTCTTCGCTGTTCTTTCCCGTAAGCACACCCACATTTCCATCCTCTGCTGATGGTAAATTGTAGTCTTTGGTCGCTGCTTACATATGCATGTACCATATAAGACTAGGCTGAAGAAAAACAGGCAGTAAATGGAAAATTAAGATCAGTATTTTTGTTTTTTTTTCAGTGAGGCGTGACAATTTCAGGTTTATAAAGAGAGGTATGGAATTAAAATGCAGTCTTACTGAGGACATAAGTAGGGGATTTAGTAGTTACTAACCCTTTCATGTGCTACTAGGAACTGGGCGTTGCATTGAGACCGAAGTCAGCATAGCAATGATTATGATTCATGGAATCCCATTTTAGCTTTAGTTTTAAAGCTAAACATGCAAACGGTCACTATACTCAAGCTTGTTTGCTAATTACTATCAGCTTACTGTCACTCATTCATGAACAGGGACATTATAAAAGTGATTTTTTTAAACAGCGCTCACCGACCCAGTTCCTGGAGATCTATCCCCCTGCAGAGCTTCGCTGCAGCCTGAATTTAACACACCTGATACAGATAATCAGGCCCTTCAGTACTGACCCATATGGAAGCAGACTCTCAGCCATCATTGAGGATAATATTTAACTAGCAGAAGGAGGATAATGTGCTGTTGGCCTAGATCAGATCATTCAGCAGGAGTATTCAAAGGCAATATTACTTTTCTTCCTTCAGAAAGAAAAAGTAACAGCTGTAAATTCCATTATGAATTCAGAGTATAATATTTATTTAGACTAATTTCTTTCTAAAACTGAATTTCTGTAAAAGGGCACGATGAATACTTGTGTATATATGTATTTAATGCATGCAACTAACAGTTACTTCTTACTGCTGTGTGTACTGTCAGCAAAGCAGCATGCTTTGGATAGATGTCTGAACTCTCTTTAAAGTATGAAGGAGCTAATTTGTAAAGTTGATTATTTGTGGCCTGAGCTGGCCCTGCGTGTGTGTGCGTGTGTGTGTGTGTGTGTGTGTGTGTGTGTGTGTGTGTGTGTTCTCATGTTCACGCTGCGTTCGTATGGGTTTCCTCTGGGTACTCTGGTCCCTCCCACAGTTCAGAAACATGCAGTTAGGTGAATAGGCGACTCTAAATTGCCTGGAGTACGTGCAAGTGCACCTGCATGCCTTGTGATAGAGTGACATGCTGTGCTTCCTGTGATAGAGTGACATGCTGTGCTTCCTGTGATAGAGTGACATGCTGTGCTTCCTGTGATAGAGTGACATGCTGTGCTTCCTGTGATAGGCTCCTAGCTCTCCACAACCATACAACAGATTGGAGGATATGCAAGATGGACGGATGGATGCATATGCATTTCTGATATAAAAGATTTTTATTGTTCAATGACAAGGCAAATTATCTCTTAACTTGGCATACACATTTATTATAGTTATTATAGTTATAGGTAGCTTTGCGTTGCATTGGAGTTCAGTGGGTCGGCCAGGTCATAGTGAATATCTTGTGTAGAAATACATTCAGCATCATTCATGTCACATACATGGAAGTGGGTTGGGGTAGATGCACAGCTCTCCTTCTGCTTTAATATGCAACCTGACTTTCACCTATGCGGCTCCTCCGGTAACCTTGTGGATCCATTTGAGGTATTTGCTGGTCAGCAGAGTGTAAACTCCAGGGAAACCTCTTGTCCCAGAAGACACCACGCCAGTAAAATTGCCGTTACATATGAGTGGCCCACCAGAGTCCCCCTGGAGCAAGAAGAGAGAATCAGAGAAACACCCTCATACCATAGTGCACCACACTGCCTTTTGGTGCAATGGGAATCAACCCCTAGAATCCGTGTCGCCCTCTTTCCAGTGCCGAGCTGGACCTTTTGAGGACAGTGTAGTCGCTCAGTAAGTCTTCTCACATACTCATTTGGCAGACATTTAGCTACTCAGCAACAGAATTGAAGGCTGCAGATGACTTGGGTAACAATGAAAATCCTTAGCAACAGCAGTTGGCAATTGTCAGGCACCTTCCCTAGAAGTATTTATGCAGAATCACTCAAAATACATCAACCAACCTACCCAGTCTGGCCAAACAAAGCATGTGACATGAGTGTCTTCACCAATTCAGAATCAGAAGCCCTAACTTGCCAATAAACTTACAAGAACTACAAAAACATGGCCATTAATACCTTATCGGTGTCCTTTTCCCCTTGGTTGTCCCAAGCACAGATCGTGTTGCTGGTGATCGCGACTTTACTTTTCTTGTAATACTTTTGGCACTGCTTTCTGTTAAAAACCTTGATTTCCACCTCCATCAGATTGTCTGAGATTCTGTTGCTGTCTCTGTTGCTGATACCCCAGCCAGCCACCTTGCAGGGTGTACTGTCTCTGGTATTTTTTTGGACATCTTTCTCTTTAGTTGGAAGTGCCAGTACAGTTATATATGGACTTGTAGTCACTGGTTTATTCAACTGTTAAATGAGAATGAAGAGTAATATTATACCAAAATGAAACACTTCTTCCTTGTCTGGTGATAAAGAAATGCCCCCCCCCCCAACTAACAAAACAAATTGCAACAAAACTGAAACCATATAATTATCAGTTAAAGAAGCTTGGGATGTATTTTATCACTTAAGAGTGGAAGTTCATATGTACTTTACCTTCAGCAGCATTAGGTCATGTTCGCCGGTTCTCTGACTGAATCCTTTGTATGGAAATGCTTCTGATACTGAGATCTGCTTTTGCTTGTTGTTCTTCTTGGAGATCGAATGGGTGCCCAGGATGACTTTCATATTCTTTCTGAGGAAGACAGACGCCAGGGGTGGGGTTAAGGAAAGGTCACTCAGAAATCTCCAAAACATCTTTTTTAAATGTGGGTCTTCCCTACATTCGGCCATGCATATTACAGTGTTGGATACTCACCCCATGCAATGAGCTGCAGTCAGAACCCACTGTTCTTTGATCAGTGCCCCCCCACACTGATGATTCTCCCATTTCACAAGAGCCATGAAAAGCCAGGAGTGATTCTTAGCCTCTTTGCCACCAATGATTTCCACGCACCTGCCTTAAAAAACAGAAGATGAATACAATATGTGCTGCTACTGTATTTAACCGTGATTTTGTTAATTTAACCATTTCATTTTTCTATGGCATCCTTACTAACATAGTTGGCCGAAAACAACCACCCATCCATTTTCTGTAACCACTTGTCCTATTCAAGGTCATGGGGAGGTTCTGGAGTCTATGGGCACAAGGCAGCAAACAGCCCAGGATGGGACATCAACCCATCACAGGGCACAGTCACACAGGCAATTTGGTAACTCCAATTAGCCTCAGCATGTCTTTAGAATGTGAGGGGAAATTGGAGTACCCAGAAGAAACCCCACGACAACACAGGGAGAACATGCAAAATCCACACACACAGAGCCTGATATAACATAATAATAGCATGGTACAAACAAATAAGGAAACAATTTACACTGTAGCATTACAGACAGAATTACCCAGAGAATCATGTCACTTTCATCTTGACAATTGACCACTTACTCCAAATTTCATAACATAAATTCACCCTTAAACCTTAAAGCACCCCCCCCCCCCAGATCTCGTGAACTAGAGCTTCAGTGGTCTGAGGTCCTCTTATACAGTGGCTGTCAAAGAAATGCAGAAATATTTACCTCCTGGCATGTTCAAAAGAACCACAGCTGCGAGGCAGGCTACAAACTGCCTGAATACAGCCATTGTGTCTCTTTGAAGCGTGCTTTCACATCTTACTTTTATATGCATGAACAGATGCTAGAAAGGGATGTGGTTTTTCCTTGCCTGACTCAAGCAGAAGTACATTTTTGATGTGAGGTATCTTAACTGGAAGATGCAGCATAACCAACTACTTTGTGGCCTGATGATATGGCTAAATATAAAGGGATGATGTAAGCAACTTAGGTGCATCATTTTACGGCAATTCTGTGACCAGCCATGAAAAGCTTTCTACAAAGACAACAATAATAATAATAATTTCCACCTCTGACAAAATTAATATTTACCAATTTGTAGGCTATTAACATATATTTCCATGGCAATGAGTAACTTAGCTCATACTTTTATTTAAATCAGCATGCAAATTTCAAACAGAGAGATATACAGCTGGAGTTTTTTCTCAGGACGCTTGCTGGAACTTCAACCAACCAACTGCTGCGTTCAGAGTGTCTGGAAGCATCTTTACAACAACTGTGGGAAACAATGGGGCCGAAAGTAGGCAAAAGCAGCTGTTTGCATTGCTAAATTATCAGCAGGCCAGCATACTGCCATCACACCCTGCTTCGGCTGAGTCAGCTCTGAGTTGGTGGTAACACTTCACCCAGTTGCAGCGTCTGGTGGTCTCCAGGTCTTCTGTAGATTAGATTGCTCTACCAGTAAGCAAACCCACAGACCCCCTTTTTCTGTAAGAAATATAACTGACAGGCAGTCTCAACTTTAGTCATGCAAGCTGTTATTCCACGTAGAGGCATGAGGAGAAAAGATTATCACTTAGCCATCTCAAAGCTTATTTTCATTTCATTTATTTCATTTATCCCTGACGTTTTAGGAATCCATTGGGTGTTTCGGTTGTGGGCCTTGAAGGGTTGCAGTTGGGGGTTTGTTAGTGCAATTTGAAAGATAGAAATTAATCTACACAGTCCAACACTGATGCAGAGCACCTCCAGTGTTTGGGGATTAAATTTGTGCCTGTTAGGTAATGTGACTATTAGTTCTTATACCTTGATGTATTTACTTCTATAGCTCAGCAAGTAGAGCATTGTGCTAACCCCTAAGTTGTTCGTTTAAATCCCAGGGAGAACACAGAAATTGTAACTTTTCTCTTTACTCTAAGTTGTTGTAGTGAAAAGCATCAGATGAATGAGATAAATGCGATAAATTATCCTTAAGACCTGACCTCCGCTCGGCTGTGGCCATGCCCATTGGTAAATGGATGTTTCACTTGTATTGTCATGTTGCATCTTGGGTGGGATGTGAACGGCAAATCAGTAAAATTTGCTGACCCGGGTAGCTGGGTTCTCAGTAAATTGTTGCAAAATTAGCATAATCAACTGTTACTAAAAGGGGCACTTGATTGGGGAGGGGTGGGGTCCCCTTGGGCCATTGAGCCCCATGCTATGATGGGCTTACAACCCCCCCGCTACTGCTACAGACGTCAGCCTGACAAGCATCGCACTCTGTTCTGCACCATTACCCGTCCCATGGCGTTCCAAAGTAGGTCTGAGCAGGTTAATCTGCCATCAGCTGATGATGAAGTTTTTGAATAAAAGCAATTTGCAAAAAAATAAATAAATCTTAAATGACAGCAACTGTGAAGTTGGAACAGAAAGCACGACTATGCAGTTTTTAGTATAGCTTCAGTATATATAACTAACTATACTAATATGTAGCACTTTGTATTTATATGTTAGAGTTGTTCTGTTTTTGCAGTGCATCATTGACAGAACTGACCAAACATACCACATGGTTAAAATGTGTGTGCTTAGTTGAAAAACCAATGTCCTGGTTTCAAGAAATGCTGCGTTTTTCTACTCGTGCTCACACCCACCAGTGAAACCGAAACAGACAGAGGCGAGTGGTGACACTGCAGTTGGTAATAGTGCTGTGGGGGGGCGGGGGGGGTGCAGGGTCTCAGTGCCTGCAATCTCATTTTTAGCAAAACCCACGTGAAGAACATGAGACGTGTGAGATGTGACACTTCTCTTCCTGTAGTAGAGGAATCAGCAGGCAGCATTTTCTTGCTGACTATAGAGGGTGAGATGGAATGTAGGTCCTGACGAGTAATTCGCTGCCGCTCTGAAGGCCACTTCATGTGAGCACCTATAAGTGTTTTGTAGAAGATAAAATCAATGAAGAGAAGAATGTTTTCAGGGATGTGAATGGTATCTGTTCCGTGAAGCTGAATCTCTGGATAATGCATTACAGACCCCACAGATCAGATAGAGAGCTTTGTCCTGTTCTTAATTCGACCAGCATGGGTTTCTTCTCCATGAGCGCTACAGACCATAGATCAAACTACTGATATGAGAGTAGATCTGAGTAGCACTAATTATCACACCAGTTCTTACTGTCACAGAGATAAGAAACTTGCAGGTTAGGGTCCAGGCACTGGGCTTCGTTCCAAAAATCATTAACCAAGTTCCAGTTCCAAAGCCATGCATATTCATATCAGATGCAAGCAAAGGACAGGGGACAATCCAAGGACAGAAAAGCAAAGCAAGAACTCCAGAAAAACACAAAGGGATCCAAATCCACCACCAACGAGACTTTGCAGTGAGGCTAGTATCCCGAGGGTTTAATTAGTTACATGTAATCTGGAACAGGTGCATATAACATGAGCCCAGAGTCCGTACAGAAGGACCCGTGGTTTGAGAAGACATGACATTTAGAAAGCAATCCCACCAGGGGAGAATGGGATTACTAGGGGACCAAAGGGATATTTGTTTGCTCATGGTTCTCATAGAAAACTTACTTTATTATAGCAGAGAAAATGTATTGATCTGCAGAATGAAGCTTTTTTGGTGACAACCCTTTTTAAGGACACAACATGCATTATTATTGTGATGTTATAATATTTTATAATACTATAATATTTTGTTTGCTGGTTACAAGGTATTCTGTCTCTCACCTCACACACGACACCCCATAATTCTAGATATAAAATGTTAAATTCAAAATCCATCCATCCATCCATCCATCCATCAGCCTTCCAACCATTTATCCATGGCAGCGGACACGCTTTAATGGGCGCCAGTCCATGGCAGGTGGGCACCAGAGGAAACCCATGAAAGCTGGGGAGAACACGGGCACTCCACACACCACAGAGATGGGGAGAACACGGGCACTCCACACACCACAGAGATGGGGAGAACACGGGCACTCCACACACCACAGAGATGGGGAAACTGTGTAAGGTCACAGTGCTGACCAGTGTGTCACTGAGCTTCCTTTAAAATGCATATCATTTCTTCATTACACATATAGTTAATGATCACTGTTACATTTACATTTATGGGGAGGGGGGTAAACTATTCCCTTTTAATGAAAAGGGAGGAAAACAGAAGAAATCAGGCCTTTAATATTAAAAGACACAGGAATACATTTTAGCTCTGTTAACAAGCATTTCACATATAAAAGGCAGTTATTTTGAGCCGCAGGGGAAGCTGGCGTCTATGTCTATGGCTGAAGGCCATCTGCTCGACGGATGGTCTTCTTGATCCACTCGATGTACTTCTCGGAGACGGCTGCGTACACGCCGGGTTTGGACCTCATGCCACATTTCTTTCCAAAGGATGCGACGCCTCTGAGAACCCCCTTGCATAGGAGAGGCCCCCCTGAGTCTCCCTGTGATGGAGGGAGCGCATCAGTATTGTACACTCGGGAAAGGAGCAGGCATAGGGGAGCGTGTGCAGGGGAGCGCAGCTGCTGCCACAGCCATGCACAGCACTCAAAGGCATGGATCTGTGCATGGACAGTGAGGACCTACCAGTGTTGTGGGAGTACTACGTGTGTTTAGGGGGGCGGGGGTTTCGGGGCTGATTTGATCTTTACTAATATTGAAAACAAACCAATGCCCTTAGTATCGCTCACCAAAACAGGCACAACAAATGCAATAAGGCAGGCGAAGCTCACCTGACAGGAGTCAGAGTACCTCCTGCCCTGAGACCCTGCACACAGCATGTTTTCAGTGATCACCGAGTTGTAGTAGTTCTTCGAGTTGCACACAGCGTTGTCAATGATGGTGACGTTGGCTGAGCGCAGGACGTCTGACTTCTTGCCCTGGTATTTGGTGGCCCCCCATCCGGCCACCAGGCAATTCGCCCCACCCTGTAGCTCGATCCTCGAGGCAGGCAGTGGGAGGAATGACACTGTGCTCGTTTTCTTCACCTTTTTACTCAGCTGCAGAAAAATACAGATGGCCCCTAAATAGAAAGCACTGGAATTGAATGTACTGTAATGTTAGAGCAGCACTTCTCAGTCTGGCCCTTCCACACTAGGCCACACCTTTGCTCTTTCAGTAGTGGAACCAGAGGTTGACAGTTCACCACCAGAAAGTACAAATTTAGACCAAGGTTTTGTTCTCAACCAAGCAGTTGAGTTCTCCGTAACAGTGACTTTTTAATACTCTCTTGACCTGAGCTTTCCACCTCTGAGTGGAACGTAAGAAGACTGTGGCCTGGCTAGTAGTCATGATAGACGAGGTGCAGCACCTACCTTCAGCAGCATGATGTCATTGTTGTGGCTCTCGGGGTCATAATGGGGGTGAGGAAACATCTTACGCACTGCACTCGTTTGCCAGCCTGACCTGTCATCCTTAGAGATGGAGTGCACTCCCAGCAGCACCTTCTGCACCCTTTTATTTCACACACAAACGGCAGGAAGGATCTCGGTTATATCGGCACGGTGAACGGAAAGGTTGGGAATCTGCAGTTGATGGGGGCTGCCTTCCAAAGATGAGTAAGCTCTCACCCCTTACAGTGAGCTGCTGTCAGCACCCACGTGGCATTGATCAGGGCCCCCCCACAGAGTGACGACCCATTCAGATAGGCCATGTAGGGGAGAGAGTGTGGCCGCACCTCAGCCCCATCTACTATAACTGCGCACTCATCTGTGGAATACATACAGAGACAAAGAGCGTTTAGAATTTGAGCAGAAGAGCTGTTGTTACCCATTCTTCACATTTGCTATCATTCTTTAAACTCTAATATCCTCTATCTATGTGTCTATTCCTTTAAGCCCGCTGCCCTGTGTCCTCTTTCCATTTCCTGGTACCCTTCCCCAGCTGTCCAGTGTTTCCCCCTAAACCTTGCCACCCTTGGTCCAGATACTGCAGAGCACAGACTCACCTGATGGCAGAAACAGGAGGAGGAGAGGGAGCAGGACAAAGCTGAAGGGTCTGCACTGCAGCATTCCGGAGACTCGTGGCCAATCTGCCACATTCTGACATCTGCAGAGCATTTATTCACTGAGGACAGGATGTGGTTTTGTCATCATCAGGGGTCCCAACAACAAAACGTGTTCCATGTAAAAATGACTCATAGTAAACAGTATGAACATCAGACATGTTGGGGGCCCAATGTTATTGTTCGCAATGAATTTCAGTATGTATTCATCTTCTAACCTGCAGTTTTACACCTTCACGGAAAAACATTTCGGCCACATGTTTGTAAGTGACGCTTTTGACCTTGTCTGCATGCTGCATATATTCAGTTGTGTTTCTGTGTGTGTATGTGTGTGTGTGTGTGCGTGTGTGTGTGTGTGTGTGTGTGTGTGCGCGCGTATGGCAGCCCAGCAGGAATCCACTGTGCACCAGCAGGGAGCGATCAGCACCAGGCAGACCGATGGTAACCACAATTTCACTTTTAGCCTCAAAGACTGCCAACAGGACATCGCTGACAACCAATAATTAACCCAACCAGGGAGCATAACGGTGTTCCTCTGCAAGGCTCAAAGTCAATTTATTTTACACAAATGCACCCACACACACACACACACACACTGTTGTTCATTTCATTCATTAATTTCTATAAGCATTTTTAGGTTTTTTTTATTGTAGTCACAGATTTTTATAAAACTGAAAAAACGGTAATGTATATCTGATCCACACACACACACACACACACACACACACACACACACACACACACAATGTGGCTGCGACTGAATATGACTGTATACAGGATGCAGGCAAGGTTATAGGCTTACTTAAGCAATAGAGTGTTGTGTAATGTAAGTTAAGTGGCAAGAAAATATCCCCTTGTTGATACAAAGTAAGATGGATCCAATCTTTCATGTTATTTACGCCAAATTCTGACCCTACTGTCTGATTATCGCAGCAGAAATTGAGACTCACCTGACCAGGCAGCATTTTTCTAATCCTACGTTGTTTCTTAACACTTCACTACAAGCCCCATGTCGGGATAATCCCTCCATTCTTAATACGCATGTAAAAAAAGGGCAAATTGTTGTTAACTTTGTGTTTGGTGGCGTAATGAATAAGCAGGCTGAGAACAATCTACCCTTGTGTAGGTCAAAAATGGGGTTATCTATTAATTTTGTTTGGGGGCAGTATTGGGGGGGGGAGACACAGACTGCAGAAAGCCTACGATGCCAGAACACCCAGGGTATTCCCTGAGTTCTCACTTGCATGTCACATTGGATAAATGTCTGATAGATAAATAAACATAATGTTATACTAGCCAGTCGTAGCTAACAAAATGGACATTGAGTGTATATACAGTATAATACATTCTATCTATCTATTTAAACGTGTCGGTTTTATTTCCTCATTCTGCTGTATTGCTGTACGTCACCATTGGTGCATATTTGTACTGCAGTTATAAACCTGTGATGTGGGCTGGCAGCTGTGTGTGAGCGTGCTGATCACGCATACCTTTCACCACTACATCTTGTTTGGTTGTCTTGCTGCTATAAAAAGAATAGCTATTTTAAGATTTACTGTGGTTAATAATAGATGTCCTTGGCTTGAAGGCAAGGTCTGGCAGGGGAGCTATGATCAGGAACGTGGTTTACCCAGGGGGAGGCTCAGCCATTGCACTCCAAATGGGGGAATCTCGACTGTATCATTTCTGCCAGCGGGGGACTGCATTTACACTCTCCCCTATTTTGGGGGGAGTAGTGTATGGCTCTGCAGGCTAAGCCTCTGTGCCTGTGATCAGAAGGTCACCAGCTCAAACCCGGCCTCAGCATGTCTGCGGGTGCTTGGGCAAGGCCCTTAACCCCCCAGCTCCCTGGGTAGCTGCCCTTCATGGCCAGCTTGCTCCCACCTACAGAGAGCAGTTCGGAGACACGTAAAGAGAACTTCCCCACAGGGATCAATAAAGTATCATTATTATTATTATTACTATTATTTAAGGGGGCAGCATGGCAGTGCAGTGGTTAGCATTGCTGCCTCACACCTCTGGGACCCAGGTTCAAGTCCCCACCTGGGTCACATGTGTGGAGTTTGCATGTTCTCCCCATGTCATTGTGGGGTTTCCTCTGGGTACTCCAGTTCCCCCCCCCCATAGTCCAAAAACATGCTTAGGTTAATTGGAGTAACCATATATGAAGGCTGGGGCACACTCTAGCCAGTCCATTGCACATCATTATCCTTATTCTGGCTATGAATCATTAGTTTTATGAGTTGTTGCTTTTTAGCCACTATATTTATTCCACCATATGGTCTTACTTATTGTTTACAAGAATATGTGCTTGATACACATATTGCACTATATTGCACTTTATTGTGAAAATTCTCCCCATATCAATGCTATTGTATGTTGCAAGTACTGTGATCCCCACTATTTCATGCTACTGTATACATGAATATGGATGGTATGATGATGAAGGCCACTTTAACTCAACTTGAACTGAGTAATTTTTGATTGTGACTATCGCAAAGGACATGACTTCCTTAAGCACAGAATTACAATGGGCTATGCCTAGAAACAGAATTGGTGACAAAGGGTAGCCCTGGACCGACCAGGAACAATTCTTACTTATTGTGGCAATGTGAACCAAACTCTTGCTCCCATACCTGAGTTTTTGCTTCAGCAACTGGCAAAGCTGCAGCTTGCTTGGCTTACTGGTACCTGTCAGCTGCTGCAGGAGCCCCACAAGCTAACCAAGCTCGGAAGGCCTCCTTCTTCAGCCTGACAGCTCCCTTTACCGCTGGTGTCCACTACTGGGTTTGGCACCATGACGGGCACCAACAACCTCACGGGCAAAGCTCCGCCCTGCCGTCTCAGCAATGGGTGACATGGTCCATTTACACTTAAAGTCTCCAGCCTCCCCTGGGATGCACAAGAATTTCTACTGGAGGTCCAAGTTGAAGATCTCCCAGACAGGGCCCTCTACCAGATGCTCCCAGTACACCCTCACTATGCAGGTCCATCTGGCATATTCCCCCGACCATCTGATCCAACTCACCACCAGGTGGTGATTGGTTAACAGCTCAGCTCCTCTCTTCACTCAAGTATGTGGCTGCGGATCCAGTGATACAATTAAAAAGTCGATCATCAAGTTGCAGCCTTGGGTGTTCTGGTACCAGGTGCACTTATGAACACCCTTATGCTTGAACATGGTGTTCATTATGAACAAACTGTGTTTAGCACAAAAGTCCAATAACAGAGCACTGCTTGGGTTCAGATCGGGCAGGCCATTCCTCCCAATTTTACCCTTCCAGGTTTCACTATCGTTACAAACGTGAGTATTGAAGTCCCCCAGTAGAACAATGTAGGGGGCACCTTCCAGCACTCCATCCAAAGTCTCCAAGAAGGCCAGATACTCTGAACTGGTATTTGGTGCATTTTGGCAGTTTGGTTCCATAGTCCGAGCTGCATGTTGAGGTGAGCCCACCTATATCTAGTCTGTATTTCTCTACCTCCCGCACCAACTCAGGTTCCTTTCCCACCAGAGATCTTACATTCTATATTCCTAGAGCCAGATTAGCTAGCCAACGATTGGTGATCTAATCTGTCAAAATGACATCCAGCCTTGAGATTTTTCAGTCATTGTTAAAAACATTCACTCAGTAAGAGAAATTATTCGGGAAAACGCGACCTCAGGTCAAATCACTCAAAATCATACGTAACACGTAATGGAAAGAATGTTTCACAAGTTATTTATTATCCATCTTACATCCCTGCTGCAGTACATTTGATAAGTGTTCGTGGCAAACAGGAAGAACCGGTTTATTCCGTAAGGTTTCGTGAGTTTATAAAACGAGCACCGTCTGCTTAGGTGGCCAGAAACATTCATAGAGCTACTGTAGTGTGTTTCGACGGAGACTGAGCTCTGGGACACTCAATCTGAAGACACGGGGGCTGAGAAAAGTGGGAGACACAGAGGACGCAACGAGCATATATCATGAATAGCAATGCTATTCCAAGCAACGATCTGGGGTAAAATACACATTTTATGTATTATTTCATACTTTCTCTACCCGCTGTACACGTTGCGCGGTACTAAAGGGCAGTATTTAATTTGTGTATGGAAAATAATTATCAGTTATGTTTTGATTTCCTTTACCACGTTTTCCTTAAAAAAGTTGCGATATCACTGTAACGATACATTTGTAACAGAGAGTTCCCAGTCCACGGGCAGTAGTTTCGCTGAGGTTATGAACATGAAATAACAGTGTGCTTCCACATGCAGCAACAGGATATTATCCTGGGCAAAGGTAGTTCACTGTAATCTTTTAAGATTATTATAGGGTGACTGCCGCCATCTAGTGGTTAATATTTCATATGCATGCAAATCACACACAACCTTCTTGTTATGGCCTAGCAGGGCGCATTGACTGCACGAAAGGGAAAAACTGAGTCAAATTGCTTGATATTTAAGTTATTGTTCCTCTGTTCAGAGATGCATCATTTCATATTTTCATGAAAGTAAATTGTATTTCTTACTGCCAACCTATGGTTTATCGTTATTTCTTTCAAAAACTGCACTTCAGCTTAGAAACTGGTCAGTTTCACCATCAGTTTTCTCATAGAAGCCTACAAACCTCCGGCAAACCATGTAAACCACGTAAAAACCAAGTATTTTTCGGAGATTTGCAGTGAAATCGAGGTCCTTACTCATCAGGTCAATGGGTACTCCAATAACCCTATATAAAAAATTAATTGATTTTTTTGTGCCTTTATTTAGTATCAAAATCATTTTCAGTTTTGACATGCCGGTAGCTATGGGGTGTCATCTGTAAAATGTTGCACGTTCTGTAGTCCTCAGGTTTTCCACGTTTAACTGCAATACAGTTTCCAAGTGCCATTTTTTCAAATATTTAGAGATATTCATATAAATTCCTGCTATAACTTTTACAAGAGAAATATCTTGTATGCATATGTGTTAAATGTAAATGTTAAATGTAAATGTTAGATGTTCAATCTAAATGTAAGACTTGAAAACTGATTGTTACAACAAATACAGCAATTGGCTATGTCCCCAGTGTGTGACATCAGTTTTTCGCATAGAGAAGAGCAGGCTCAGCCACACCAGGGGTTAAACTCAAAACCAAGAACGCAAAGACCATACTTGTGGTCTTGGCAAGACCGGTTTTGCTAACTTGCCTTCCAATAACGTACTTGGGGTGCAGTGAATCATGGGATTGGTCTTGTTCGGCGAGGATGCAACTGCTGTGTTTTTGATATTTGGTGCACAACAATAACAACATCCAGGGATTTCTCTGTCCTCTGTACATATGTTCAAGTATGATATTGAGATTCCCCCCGGTATCCATCAAAATGGTGATTGCAAGTCTGGGCGAATTAGCTGAAGTAATTGAAAGCGCAGTTGCAGATGGCATTAGGGTAACTCTTCGGAATGACCAACACCTACACCAGGCACTGCGATTTGTGTTGAAATAGCCACCATATCATTGCCTAGTGTAGGTGTAGGAGGGTTGCAAAGACCGTCATCTGCCATGTTGGTGCATTTCTCGTCTGATTGACATACTCTGTATGTATTGTTTCTGCTCTTTTTTCACTTGTGCCATAATCAAGTGAGCTGTTTTGACTACAATAACAACAACAGTGTTAGCGACAAAGATAAAGGATTGTTTTAAGTTTCTAAAAATTAAAAATTACATGTAAGAAACGATCCAGAGAGGAGAGAGTTTTATTACCGACAGCAATGGTTACACAGAATCTCAAGAGCTGATCATTCTGAGAAGAACCTTCACAGTGGCAGATTTTGCAGACATCACTTTGTCAATGGTAAGAGCCAAATGCCAAAATTACTAGTGCTTCTGTATGTTTGCTTCCATAGATAACAGAAATGATCTTCATCAGCTGACATCCGTATCACAAAGCCAGATTTCTTACTTAGCCGGATAACTAGTCCGATTTAAGGTACCTCAGTTTAAATGAACTGTATCTTCGTTGCTTTATATTTCGCCCAGCCTGCCTTAAACGCGAAAAAAAATGCAGCTAAACAAGAAATCCAGCTTCATGATGTAGGCCCCTGGTGAACATTGACTTAGTTTCTGTTAGCATGTTAAACGCTACCACATCTCATAATCGTCATTCTGTTTATGGTTGTGGAGACTGATATAACCTAACGTCAGTACAAGTCATTTTATGGCTTTTTGTGCCACATAATTTACGGTATACGAAGTAACCTGATGTCATAAAATTGATTGGTTTTAAAAGTATGAAGCGGAAACATTCTAAAGGCTAATCTTATCCTTTCACTTTAGGCAAACCAGCCACTATGTATGACAGGCAACATTAACTGGGCACCAATGGTGAACACGGGGCACAGCAGTTTGGGAGCATCACAGACATCGAGTAGAAAGCAAAATGAACCTGATGCTCAGACAATCCCTTCAGCCAAATGCAAGCCACATATCCAGGGACACTTGTCCCAGCACCATGGAGATCCCACTGACAGACAAAATGGGTACTCTAACGAGTAAGTAAACCAAATGTCCTGCCCTGTAGTTCTTACTGTGTGTGGGAGGGTTTAGTTTTGCCTTACACTGTGCAACACTTTCCCCATGTACTGGCATTATGAACACCACTATACTAGATCTACTGTAGGTATGATGCACTTTTTGTGTCAAAATATCTGTCACATGGTGTACTCCCTGACTTGCAGATGACTGTTTAAATGTCTTTGCTGTTTCAGGGTCTGAAGATATCATCTCCACTCCAGATGATCCAGACAGAGTGGTTGGACGCCAGACTGCTGTGACTCTGTATGATTTGTTAGCCATGAAATCACGCATGGTGCTATACCTCTGGACATGTTAAATGTAAAAGAGGGAGACACAAAGGGTCAAGCAGACAAGATTGCAAGAATTTGCCGTGCCTTAAATCTGTCAGTGTATTTTTTTTCCCAGTGAGTTTGAAAAATAAAAAGCAAGTATTGACAAAAGAAAATAATGACGACTACATTCTTGGCTTAAATCATAATCACTTTATTCATATGTATCATAAAAATTCTTGTGCAACAATTGCAGGGGAGGGAGCAGATGCATGGGGGGGGGACGACAATATGGCAAAAAACAGTGCAAATAGGACAAGGGGCAATAAGAACAGGATAGTACTACAAGAGATGAAACAGTGCAATATGGGTAGTGCAACAAATATGCAGAATATATTGAGAACGCATACATTTGTGCAACTTTGGCAAAATGCAAAGACTAGTTATAAAAGTGAAAACAAATATGCAAACATTACATAAGTTTGTGAACTTCTCCATCGTTCTTGGCAAGGAACCAGGGTGCTCAGACAATCCCTTCAGCCAAATGTAAGCCGCATATCCAGAGATATGTGGAGAGAAATGGATGTTACAGACTGGGGGCGGTGCCAGTTATCGTATTTGTTGTAGGACACAAAAACTCAATGTTACATTTAGATTATTTTTTACATTTACGTTTAACGGTAACACTTTACTTCAGGGGACATCAATAATATAGTAGTACACGCTTACTCAATGCATTAATTAACCAGTAACTAAGGGTTTGTTAAGCACTGATCCCATGTTCATTAATCATTAATCAATCATGACAGTTCATCTATTTCATGGGGAAATATATATTAGTTCATGATTTGTTGTTCAGTAGTAAATGCATTAAGTAATTTTTGTCCCCTCAAGTGAAGTTTTACCATTATTAACTAATTAAGTAACTATCTAATATAGTGCCTGAATGGAATACATGAAGTGTCATGATTGATTAAAGATGCATAGGATCAGTATATAACTAACACTTAGTTACTGGTTAATTAATGCATTAAGTAAACGTGTACAACTACATTAGTGATGTCCCCTCAAGTAAAGTGCGACCCATTTAACATTTACATTCAGCATGTACAATTATATTTAGGGGGGAGCATGGGGGTGCAATGGTTAGCACTGTTGTCTTACACCTCTAGGATCTGGGTTCAAGTCTTTGCCAGCGTTCTGTGAGTAGAGTTTGCATGTTCTCCCCGTGTCATTGTGGGGTTTCCTCCAGGTGCTGCAGTTTCCTCTAACAGTCCAAAAACATGCTGAGGCTAATTGGAGTTGCCAAATTGCCCATAGGTGTGTGTGGATGGTGTGTGAGTGTGCCCTGCAAAGGGTTGGTTCCAAGATATTCCTCTTGGAAAAGTTAAAGCATGTATTTACATGAATGTCTCTCTAAATGTTTGTAAAAGTGACAGTTGAAAATTGTAGTGCATTTTTTTTTTACATTTGGTAGTGCTAAATGGGGAAAAACTGAGCAGGATTACAGAACGTGCAACATTTGACAACCAACACCCTATAGTTAACTACCTATTGTTATTACTTATTTGTTATGATCAGTGTTTTTAAATTTTGGCATTTTAGCTGTCATATTTCTGAAGAATCGAAATGCAAATGGAAACTTTTGCAGATATGGTAATATAATGATCTGTGATGTAACCAGGGGTGGAGCTTAAGAAGTTTTGCTATCTGCCAACCACGCTAGTTCTGTAAAAATAGAAACTAGTGTTCAGTTTTTTGCACTTGCCCTTGTACTTGGCTCAGACGAGTGGACAAGCTTAATTTCCAGCCCTTAGTATAACAGCTCATTCTTCTCCCATTGTAGTGTTATGTCACAGTGTCTGGTGGACTGTCGGGCATGGACACGGGCAGCTCATACCGGTGTGGCGCCTGGAGAGCTGGGAGCAGGCGCGGCAGTACTGCCAGATGCACTTTGTGGATCTGGTGGTTGCAAACACTGAAGAGCAGCTGGGCACCTTGCTTGGAAATGCTGAGCGTGAGACTGGTAGTTTCTGGATTGGGCTGCGCTATAGGGACCCGAGTGGCTGGAGCTGGGTGGATGGAAAGGCCTTGACCTACAGCCCGTGGTACAGGCTTAGCCGCCGCGGAGACTGCGGCACCATTGAAACCAGTCTGCCAGGAGCTCAGAAGCTCCTTCCACGAATCTGCATGGAGAAGCGGCCCTTCCTCTGCCAGGGTGAGCTCCCCAGGTTTTGGGTTCTTCTATTAGCCCACCTTGAGTAGAGCACAAGTAAGAGCTTATTAAGAAATGCTGATAGTAATTTTCCCAAAATAAATGCTCACGTCTCTACCATAAGGAGGATGCATCCTGATAGGAGGGCACCTAGACGCCAAGGACCTGGATCTGTGGCTGGCTAGATGTATTATAAGATTTCATTCTGTGATTATCTGAAGTGAACTTATCTCTAATTGTAATCATAATTTCATTTGCTAGTTGTAAAAGCAAATGCACACAGGAAGGGCCCAGCAGTGCTACGATTACTGTACTGGCTATGGGATTTGACAGGCTTCTGGGCATGGACACAAACTCCTTACCCACAGAATCACACATATAAACAATGGATGAATGAGTAATTCATGTGTACAACCATATTTCCAACATTTATTTTGCTTACATAGTACAGTTGGATATTTGTTGGAGTAAGGCCTGTTAGTGTGTTACAGAGCCGATCCTGTAGCATTTGGATTAAAAGTGCTCTTCCTTAACCACAGTGCCACCTGCTGGCTTGAGTTTGTTCCACAGCCCACTCTCGTTATCTACTCTCCTTGAATTTTTTGATGTATTCACTTTGGTCCCGCTTTTCAGGGCCTGTTCCTCCGCTCAAAATCGAAGTTGGCTTTGTGGGGACGGCCTGCGTGAGCCTGAGCTGGCCCAGACCTGCCCCCATGCAGGGTGTCCAGTACAGCTTCAACGTGAGCTACGTCTCTGCCTCTCAGGGGAGCCGCAAGTCCTACTTGTCAAACTCCAACTCCACCATAATCTGTGACCTGACTGCCGGAGACACATACAACTTCTCAGTTTCCACAGTCATGGGGAGAGCTACTCAGAGTGACCCAGTCTCTGTCAGTGTCCTTATGCGTACGTCATGCCTTGTTTTTATTTCATCTGACCCTTATTTAAAGACAAATTCAATTTGCCATATTTACACACAGTCTGCTCACTTTCTCACATGCCACATTTAAATATGATCTGCTCAGTCACACACTGCATTTACACATGATCTGCTCACCCTCTCACACATGCTCAATTTTCAGCTGATTTGCTCATTCGCATACACATCACATTTACACATAATCTGCTCACTCACTCGTCACATTTACACATAATCTGCTCATTCTCTCACACACGCTGCATTTACATATAATCTGCTCTGTCAAATGTGCCACATTTACATACAATCTGCTCACTCTCTCACACATGCCACATTTACATACAATCTGCTCACTCTCTCATACATGCCACATTTACATATAATCTGCTCTGTCAAATGTGCCACATTTACATACAATCTGCTCGCTCTCTCACACATGCCACATTTACGATACATATGATCTGCTCACACTCTCATACACGCCACATTTACATTCATAATTCCATTGTGGTTGAAATACCACAGCCACTGATATTATTTTCTATCTCTGGACAACCTGTGCACCCCCCACTGTCACCAGCAGTGTACTCACTGTAGCCATTTTGTCACTCTTGCACTGTCATCTTGATTGAGCAAATTCTGAGTTATTACAGTGCCATTTCCTCACTAACACTTATCGTTAACCCCCACAGTTAAGCTTAGCCTTGATATCACAAAGTAAATATATGATTTGATATGGTAAATACAGATGTTTAAATACTGTTTTGGTGGATTTTAACACAGTGTAGATTACCCTGACTAATTTTCTTTTAATGTGTGTGGTTTTCCTCTAGGCTTGCACCCACCAGTGAATGTAATGGTGGAATCTATCGGCTCAAACTCTGTGACTCTTAGCTGGAGCTCAGGATCCAACAGGTCATGCTTGTATAATGTGTCCTACTACTCGCTTGATGGGTCCCACTCTGGCTTTAGTGTGAGGCCCGAGCTCAGCAGTCACGTGACCATTGGCAACCTTTGGTCACAAATGGAGTACATCGTCAGCATCATGGCTGTCAGCCTCTCAGGGGCCCAGAGTGTTCCTGTGACTGTCTTTCTAAATACCTGTGAGTGTACTTCTTGCTCTTTACCATTAGTCCGTATGTAAGTGCCAACTGTAGGCTACTGTGTGATTTCTTGAACTCCCTCTCTCTCAGGTTCCTACAGTATGACATTGGCTGCCATCACATCTCACAGTATGCCGTTTGTTTTCTTGATGCTGATATTATGGCTTCTCCATCAGATCTTTAAAACTACAAAAAACGGTAAGTGAGAAAGATAGTTAGTCTACAACAAGCAACTCAGGGTAGTTAATTTAGAATTCTTAGCTTTATACTTGTTTTTTTAGTATTGTGTAACTGTGAATATGAAAAGTGTGTAATTTATTTGCATATTCAAATATTGCTTTAAGGTTTAAGGAATTCCACTAGAAAATTGTGCATGTTATTTTAGTCTCTACATGACTTCAAAAGCATCAGAAGAAATATTTTTGCTTGAGAAACTAAATACCAATACGGTAAACAATAAACATAAGAGTGTCCGAATTTTGGAACCTGTCAGTATTCCAGAGATCAGCTAGTTTTTCCAATACTGTGATATTAACATTAGAGGGGAATTTCCTGTTTCCTGAGAATCCTAGCTTTCATCCAATCACCCATTCCAGACTGTCTGTATGAACTCTCAGGTGTGGGTGCTACAGTAAAACAAACACAATCAGATATAACTGACTAAATTTATGCTCAGTTGTACATTTCTTTTCCCTCCAAAATGATTAATATTGAGTGTCCTGCATTGGAAAGGCACCCCATCCTGGGTGGTTCCATACCTTGCGCCCGTAGCCTCTGGGATATGCTCCAGACCCCCCCTTTGATCCTGAATAGGATAAGTGGTTTCAGAAAATGGATGGATGGATGGATGATCAATATTGACTTAGTCCACTAGGTGACAGCACTTTCCAAAGATTTTCCAGCTCTGGTTTAACTTTGCAAACTAAGAATTGTATCTTAGTTGTTAGGATCCTAACTTAGGTCACGTTGGCTACACTGTTCCTGAGTTGAAACTGGCGTTTTTTTTTTCTAATAACAGGACCACAGTAACTTGCTGCGGTTCATAAATTGTCACCTTTAAAGATTTCTTTTCAATTTTCAATTCAATTTGTTCAGTTCAGTTTTTTTATATAGCACTTTTAACAACAGTCATTGTCATTGACAGTCAATGACATTGTCATTGTCAAATCCCACAGTCATTGTCAAAAACACTTTACATGTAGCTGGCACACTTTTGTGGTCTTCTAGATGAAAGTGTTGACTGCCTCCTTAAAAGTACTGTAGCTTTCTCTGTATAACTGTCATCCAGTGCTATACAGTTCCATTGACTGGGACTCTTTTCCATGGAAAATGTGTGCATTGGGTCACAGTTTATTAATTATCTAAATTATAAGTATGTATTAACTGTGTAGGTTGCTGCGATGTTCAATGTGAGGAACATGTTATGAACTTAGCAGCTGTATAATTCCCTTAAATTGAGCTTTAAATTAAGTGAAGGGTGCTGTGATAATTTTGTTGGTTCACTGTTTCTTCCAGATGACTCTGAGGAGCAGTACTCACGAGAGACTATGGTTGACGTAATCCACCAGTCATCTTAGATCCATTTGTTTACTCTTTTCACTGAGATTCCCATCTACTGGTTACCTCATTTTCTGTCACCAGCCTTAACCCTAAGTATAACATATGAGTTATACCCAGTTACACTGTGAATAACCCTGAATGTAAAACTGAATTTTGACTTGTTATTGGTAACACTTTACTCGAGGGGACACAAGTAATGTCCTATTATGCTATTACTTGTATATTAATTAACCACAAACTCAGTCTTACTTAGTCTCGGATACATATTGAAGTCATGTTCGATCATCGTTAATGAATCATGATGCATCTTTTGTCAAACAATCACTATATTTACTACATCTATTCATTCTGTAAACCTTTGTGATCTACTGAGGAACTACTGAAGGAAATACTGAAGGAACAAGTATTTGTAACCAATGAAATATTGATCTCATGCTAGTTCATCATTAATGAATCATGAAGCATCTTTCATGTTAAGTAGCTGCTATATTTGTACATGATTTGTATTTCAGTAATAACTGAGTCACTACTAAGTATTAGGGTCCCCTCAAGTAAAGTGTTACCCTGTTATTGAACTGTTAGCTATTCTTTTTGCACAATATTTATTGTTGTTTTTTTGCTGCTAGAAACCCAAAATGTGCTGTGTATTGCTATGTATGGGTGAGATGGAGGCCCAGAGGGCACCATTGCCACCTCACACCTCCAGGGCTGGGGCTGGAACCCCTGCTTCGGTGTGTAGAGTTTGTACATTTTCCCCATGTTGCTTGGGCTTCCGCTGGGTACTCTGGATTCATACGCAGTCTCATAGTGTGTGCATGCATGTGACCTGTGATAGACTGGGCGTACCCAAGCCTTGTCCCCTATACTGCCTGGGTAGGTTCCCTGTGACTCTGACTATGATAAGTGGTTGGAAGATGGATGGGCCAAACCAAAGTACAGTGGAAACTGCTTATAGTGATGACAGTTATAGTGATCAACCGGCAATATGGATCAAAAAGCTTGGGACAAGAAACATTCCTATAAAAATTCTGTTTCAATAATTCACTATTGCAATCAAGTCGTCCATTTACAGTTTTCATTAACTGCCTGACTGCATTGTACCTGTGAAGTTTGGTGGAGGAGGGATAATGGTATGGGAGTGATTTTCAGGGGTTGGACTAGGCCCCTTAGTTCCAGTGAAGGGAACTCTTTATGCTTCAGCATACCAAGACATTTTAGACAATTCTATGCTTCCAATTTGGGGAATGCCCTTTTCTGTTCCAGCATGTCTGTGCCCCAGTGCACAAAGCAAGGTTCATAAAAACATGGTTGGGTGAGTTTGGTGTGGGAAAACTTGACTGGCCCACACAGAGCCTTGACCTCAACCGCAATGAACACCTTTGGGATGCACCAGAACAGAGACTGCAAGCCAGGCCTTCACGTCCAACGTCCCTGACCTCGCAAATGATCTTCTGGATGAATGGGGAAAATTTCCAGAGTTGCACTACAAAATCTTGTGGAAAGCCTTCACAGAAGAGTGGCAGCTGTTCTTGCTGCAAAAGCGGGACCAACTCCATATTGATGCCTATGGATTTAGAATGGGATGTCATAAAAGTTCCTGTAGGTGTAATGACCAGGTGTTCCAATACTTTTGTCCATAATGTGTATATTTAAAATCCAAAAAAGTGTGGGCTGAATTACCTATACTGCTTATTTTTTGGACCGGTATTAAGCTACTTCCTGTCTGTCATAATACAGCCAATTGCTGATGAGGCAAAAGCTGACGATGATGTCATGTCCAGCATCATATCTGGAAAACATATTTAATAAATTTAAATGTTATTCTTGGTACAATACCTGGACGAGGTTTTTATTGAAACCATTTGCAACGTACACATTCTCAGAAGCTTTCTTAAGAAGATTTTGAATAACTTTTTCTGTGAGAGAAATAAGATAAAAACAGAAATATTAAAAAAATGGTAAAATATAAAAAAGAAAAATATTTAGTATTCTTTGTTTCAGGGGTGCCATGGTGGGGCAGTGGTTAGCATTGCTGTCTCACACTACTGGGACCTGGCTTCATCTGTGTGGAGTTTGCCTGTTCTCCCCGTGTCATCGTGGGATTTCCTCCAGGTACTCCAGTTTCCTCCCACAGTCCAAAAACATACTGAGGTTAATTGGAGATGCTAAATTGCCAGTAATTGTGCACATGTGAGTGAATGGTGTGTGAGTGTGCCCTGCGATGGGTTAGCACCCCACCCTGGGTTGTTCCCTGCCTTGTGCCCATAGCCTCCGGGATAGGCTCCGGGATAGGCTCCGGGATAGGCTCCGGGATAGGCTCCGGGATAGGCTCCAGGCCCCTCATAATCCTGAATTAGATAAGCTGTTACAGAAAATGGATGGATGGGTTTTTTTTGGTACATTGTATCCCTTTAGCAAAGAAATTCTAAAATCCTATAACACTGTGAAAAGACAAAATATGCTTTTCAGTTTAATAAATCTTTCCAATGTACAACTATTTTGGATCATACTGTTTGTTTCAAAAGTACCACCTTTACACTTCATTGGCATGGGTTTTCTTTGAGTCATTGTGAGGCTGAAATATTGTGGCGAAATGAATGTTCCCTAAGCATTTTGTAGAGATAACGCCAATAATGTTCGGTACAGCAACAAGTTGTGACAGGAATGTCTATGCTCCTGATGGGGCTGAAAGATTCTGGAATATGATCTCTTATAAAATGCACTGATGTTACAAGTAGCCATCCTTGCTCGCACTATAAACAGTAAAAAAAAAATCTAAATAAGACTTTTTTTAAACCAGCAGTTCTGTTGTATTGTTCATTTTTTAAATATTCAAATGCTTGATATTTGACATTTAACATATTATTCAAATGTACAACAATCGTTATTATCTTTAACACATAAATATAAACACCAACCAAAAAAAAAGAAACCATATGCGTATATTTCAGTAGAGAAAGTTTTTATTCTCCTAAGGACTAATCTGGACAGCACTTTATGGACGCCATGCTGACAGTGTGGCACCTCTTTGTCCTCTGACGTACTGCCTGCTCATCAAACAGTGATTAAGTAAGTGCTGTGGCACTATTTTGGTCAGGCATGAGTGTGCAGACTGAGAAGTATAGAACTCATTTTACATCTTCATCCTTCAAGCATTGCACCCACAGTACTGTACTGAATATACAACAGCCAGCATATGATGTGGTGTTTGGCCATTATACCGAGCAGCCAACAGATGTCGCTGCTATTGAAAATGTGATTTTGCAACATCAGTAGCGTTGTAGTAGTGGCATGCCTTTAGTGTACTCTGCTAAGCATTCATTAAGAAAACCTGTGGTAATCCTTGTAAGCCATTAAATATTATATATAATACTTTACATTCCATTCCATTCTATTTCACTCTAGATTCATTATATTTAAAGATTCTTGTATTACTGAAAATGAAAGGCAGTTAAACAAACAATGATAGGCACCCTTTATCAGATGAATGATGTCACATGAATCAGTACCGCCGCCGCAGGAACAAACCAGTATGAGAACAGACAAGGCCTTTTTTTCTAAAGTGGTGCAATGTTAAGCATAGTGATGGTAATATAGGTTGGGTAATTACACACTGACCTAAAGGAATTTGCCCACATACACCAGCAAATGATGAAACCAGTTGTTATGTTGTGAAATCCTGACGACACAAACATGTTACCCACTTAGCAAATGTTTGCTCTCAGCATGTCATTAAGAAACATACATAAGAACATAAGAAATTTACAAACGAGAGGGGTCCATTCGGCCCATCAAGCTCGTTTGGGGAGAACTTAACTAATAGCTCAGAGTTGTTAAAATCTTATCTAGCTCTGATATAAAGGAACCCAGGGTTTTAGCTTCCGCTACACTAGCAGGAAGACTATTCCATACTCTAACTACACGCTGTGTAATGAAGTGCTTCCTCAAATTTGTTTTAAAATGTTCTCCTGCTAATTTCCACTTATGGCCACGAGTTCTAGTATTTAAACTAATATTGAAATAGCCATTTGGCTGAACAGCATCCAGACCCGTTAGAATCTTATAGACCTGGATCATGTTCCCCCTTAGTCTCCTTTGCTCAAGGCTAAACAGATTCAGCTCAGCTAACCTATCCTCATAAGACATTCCTCTAAGACCAGGAATCATTCTTGTAGCCTTCCGTTGCACCTTTTCTAAGGCAGCAATGTCCTTCTTAAGGTATGGTGACCAAACCTGCACACAATATTCTAGGTGGGGTCTTACCAAGGAACTATATAAATGTAACATCACCTCCCTTGACTTAAACTCCACACACCTAGAGATATAACCCAAAATTCTATTGGCCTTTTTTATTGCTTCCCCACACTGGTGAGAGTGGGACATGGAAGCATCAACATATACACCGAGATCTTTCATCAGCTACCTTTATTTCAGTGGATCCCATAAAATATCTGTACTTTATATTTCTGCTCCCTGCATGGATTACCTTACATTTATCTACATTAAATTTCATCTGCCAAGTATCAGCCCAGTCGCTAATTAAATCCAGATCCCGTTGTAGCCTCTCTGCTGCTAGATCAGTATCTGCTACACCACCCACCTTGGTGTCGTCTGCAAATTTAACCAGTTTACTGTATGTATTGGTGTCAATATCATTAATGTAAATTAGAAACAATAATGGTCCTAAAATTGAACCCTGCGGTACCCCACTATGAACACAGGCCCACTGTGACATTGTGCCTCTAATAACTACTCACTACTTCCTGTCAGTTAACCAGTTTTCGATCCAATTGGCCATCAGCCACTGACAATGCTAGTAATGGTTTTATTCAGCCTTACAAAGAATTGACAGATTTAGAATTGCTCATTCAGGTCTTTCTAATCAATGTTTTAAACAACAGGGTTAAGATGATTGCAAAATTGCAGGTCTCTTAATTGTGGAATTCTGCTGCACTGCCTCACATTTGTGACAGGAAGGTATTATAACCAGACACAAAATGGTTTGCAGAATCTGTAAACTTATCCCAGCCTACTAAACCCTCTGGTGACTTATTGGACTAGTCTGCATATGTGAGTGACAGTGTGAGTGTATTTGTTTCTTCTGAGGGGAATTAAAGAGCGCTTAAAATTTAGAAAGAAATCAAGTTTGACATCACAATAAACATGATTAAGATACAGCTCCCAAACTCAACCTTAACCTAAATAGCTAACTAAAATAGTTATAGATGTCTGTTATTATTGTTTTAAAAATTTATGGTATGTGATTGTGTGGTTGGGTGTGTGTGTTTGTGTGTGCGCATGCTTTCTGTGGTTGCTGATTGCTACTCATTCTCCATTTCCGAAGCATGTTTCTTCAGCAATGACAGGAAATGAACCAAGTATCCTGTGAAACTCAGAAGAGACAATGGGCTAGTATTTACTGGAATGTAAACCTTCAGAGTTTACAGCTGGCTTGCTTTCTTAACACACACTAGCCGGTTAGATAAATTTAGGCTAACACCATTAATATCACCAGCTACTGAATGCTCCAGACTATTTCCTGTTAAGCTTTTAGAATTTATGACCCATTCACATAAAGTATTTTTCATTCATTTCTACAGCCTGTTAGTAATGACTAAATAGCTAAAAATCTCACTGATGATTTTGGAAAAAATGACAATGGCATCTTCTTTATTAACAAATTTTGTCTGTCGGTGAAATTGCCAATAAGCCTTTAGAATCCCATTGTAAACCAGAGACAGTCTCCAGGGTTATACAACCATAAATGGAGATAAAACGAATCACCCCTGGATGATTTCCAGTTACATGTATGAAAACCTTCACTCATTTCCGCAAATTCGTTGTATTTTTTTTTTCTTGCATTATCATTTATTATCCTGGGTAGCTGGCTGCCATAGGCCCAACCCAGACAAACATTTAACTGACATCCTCTTACACAATTTTAAAATGTTTGAACTTGTTCTTCCAGGATATAATAGCATAATGCAACCCTCGTGTATCAGACCTGACCATACCCTGCAACACTGTCTGATTCTATTAAATGGTTAAAAAGGATCATTTTGTAAGTGTATCCTAATGACAGTGTTGCCATGCTCTTTCTTGTTTGTGTATAGCTGCATAGTTTCCTGCAGACCCTGCTATGGTGCTCCCAAATTTACCACCATCCAGACGAGCAGACTGTACCTGTTTCATTTCCCTGCACCATGTCAGGCATGAGAACGATGGGGAATCCTGGGACGGCTCGATGTCCTGTTCCTCTCTGTTTGGGTTCAGGTCACAGCTGAGCTTCAGGCATGTTTTGGTCACGGAGCAAAGCAAACAGTGATGATTTTCCATTGAAGCAGTGGCAGATCTCTGACCAGGGACTTCCCTTACAAGGTGCCGGGCAGCCGTGACACGATGCAGGAGAGCCTACTGCATCTTTTATGTGGACCTTCCATTTTCTCAGTTTAGACCGAAAACTCCCTTGACAACATGGGAAAGAAATGCACGGTGAAGAATGTCAACAATGTAAACAGCCTCTTAGCTTGTATATAAATATTTGATGCCACAAAGCCCCTTTTTCCATCCAGCCTTGAAATGGTGAGCATTTCTTTGCTTTTATTGTCATGTAGTCATAGACCTAAATGAATAATATCAGAGTGCAGAATCAAAATATAATGCCTGGATTTTACAGAACCATGAGCATTAGCAGACTGGATGTGAGTTTCCTATCACTCTTGCTGACAAGCAGTTGATTTGACTAAAAAATAAATGCAGCATAAAACAGAACGAAAAATTGACGGGTGAGCGAGTGCAGATGTGTGCAGTGATGGACGCGTGACAGGGGTGGGCTGAGCCCTTACTCCGAGGAGCGCATCGGGTAAGGTGAACCTCTGCCAGCCACGTTCCTCAAAAGCAGGAGCTACTTCTACATTTTTTTCTTGGGAAAATTGGCTGATTAATACCTCAGAAATGCTTGATGGGAGTGTTAATATTGACCTTCTGTGTGTCATAGAGGAAATTAAACAATGAAGAGTTAATCAGTAAGGAAGCTGCACCTAACAGTGGGCTTGATCACTGGCTGGAAATGCTTTATTAGTGTTTTCTCCCGCAACACTTACTGGGAGGAGGGGAATGAGAGGAGAAGTCATATTTGCATTTCTTAGTTACACTAGTGGCCAAAATTGTGGAAACACCTACTGTAGCATTTTTGGCATTACACTTTAAAAATTGCTACATGAATATTGGTAGTAATGTTTATAAACAATCAAAGAATGTTATAAATGGCATACATTGGATGATTAAATAAGTAACTGGAGCAACAATTGAACACAGTTCTGCAATTACTAAAAATTTTCCACAATTTTGGTCACTAGTGTATATTTGCCTGGGTCATACAGTATGTGTTACATGTTAAGTCATTTTAGTTTTCATACTGGTTAAAAAAATTGGCCAGTCTTTAAAATAATATTTTAAAATAATAATATTTTTAATACTTCACATTCTTTTTTAGTCAATCTTTCTACTCAGCTATAAAATTGAGCCACACCGATCTGTTATTTACATGGGAGGATGTTGCCGGGTTCTGTCAGCCAGAGTTCTTTTCTAATCACAGTCTGACTCTCCTGCCTCAGGTACTGGAATATTACCTATAAAAAGAGAAGTGGAGTGTACTGTGTCATATATTATAGGGCCACTGTTCAGTCCCTGCTAATAACTGAAAAAATTCAGAGAAAAGCAGGAAAATGCAGTATGACCATATCCATTTTGTTCTGTGGCACATACAGCATGCATGGTTAAATGCCACCTTGTTAAGTGCTGTCCCAATTCTTATCTTCAGGGATTTTCATTAAAATCTGTTTCCCCATGATGTCCAATGCAGTCTGAGTTCATTTCAGAAGTTCATGAAGGATCTGGCTGAAGCACAGTGCCTCTATTCCTGGGCAGTTTGCCCCACCACCACCACCCCAGAATTGTCATGTGGACCTTCACAGTATTGCTGGGCCTGTGAAACTGTCAAATCATCTGTATGGATCTTTGGGAATCACTAGGCCAGGCATTCCCCTAAGCTCTGGGTAATACTGTAGTCTGATTCTCAACAACCAGTCCTATTTCAGGCACTTGACATTGTGAACACCAGGAGAAATGATCTCAACTAGTAATTATTAATGGAAACTTCCAGGGCAACTCAAGAACTTAAGAAGTTAGATCATCAACTTCTCCAGGCCTTACGTGGTTTGTAAGTCAACTTTACGTGGGTTTGGAATTCAACCTACGTTATATGGGTTTAAGTTTCAACCGTATGCTGGACTCATATTCCTCTTGAATTTTTATTACTTTCAGCTATGATACTGTATCCTGACTACCAATGTCCACACATGTATTCACGGGTGATCTCATTCAAATCTCATTATTGTTATTCCATTATGTTTATCTTACATTATTGACCAGGGATCTTGAACACATATTTTTCTCTAATAAATCACCAACATTCCTACAAAATGTCAATTTTTTTCTTTTTATTTCTGTTTCCTGCACCATAACTTTCGTTCCTCCAGCTAAATCTTCTGACCTCCTGTGACACAATTTGTGATGTGCATATCACAAGGGTGTGCCCGCTTCAACGTGAGATGGGCAAGCAGAGACAGGGGCTGGAATGCCAGAAGAAGAATCTTATCAATGGACAGATGCTTGTAGCAAAGTATGTCCCAGCAGGAAAACGTAAAAACATTTCATTACCTTGTTTGTTTTGCACTCTCTGTGCTCATTGTGGCATCTCCTTTACTTCTGTGTATTGGTTACTTTTGGGTTTTTATTTTGTTGCTTAGGAGATGTTTTCATCCACATCAAATTATGTGCTGCCCAGTTACAGTTTGCTAGTTACCGGTTACTTTTCCAGTGAACTGATCATAGCTATTGTGTAAAAAGCAACCTGGAGGGAGACACAAGTTGTTGATGGAATTAAATAGAAATATCAGAATCCCAGCAGCAATGGCCTCCTTGTTCAGCCAGTTTGCTGAGTCTTTGAGCCAAGGTATGTTGGGATCTCCTAAACAGTGCTAGATCCTACAGATTACACGATGCCGCAGGAACAGAAATGTCAATATCTGCCCACAGCTCCCTGTCAGGTGACCTTTGTAATTCTATGAAGTCCTTTGTGCCCAGGAATGCTCCAGGCACATTTATACCTGTGCTCTGCAATTATGCTCACCTTTTTCCTGGAACAATGGAAAGAGTCACAGAGGCATTTAGCCGGAACCTTCTCTCTTTGAATAGACAAGAGGTGAGGCTCTTCACCTGGCAAAACAAGTTAACCTAACTAAAACTCAGGGGAAATATATATAACATCCACATATGCTCTCTTCTCTCTCTCTGTATATATATATATATATATATATATATATATATATATATATATATATATATATATATATATATATATATATATATATATATGGCATATGTGGATATATTGGTGAAATGGTTCAGTTTATGTTGTTGAAAATTTGTGGTAAAAAACAAAAGTACATCACAAAAAAATTACTGTATTATATGTAAATTATATAATGTAGGTCACTCTGGGTAAAAAAGTCAGAAGTACCAGTGGAAAATATTGGTTCAAAATTGGCGTATCATGGGACAAATAAAAGGTATGCGGACCTAAGTCAAGGGATCCAGGTCTAATTCCCAGGTGTAATTAAAAAAAAAAACTTACCAGCATTTTAGGCAGGAAATATATCCATTCTTGCGAATACTCATTCATACACACGCACAGAAAAACACTCGCGAAGAGAGCGACAGTTAAAATTCTTTTGGTCTTGATTGTTTACATACTGCATTCGGAAACTGAAATAGCTAACCAGCAGCATTGCATTACGACGCTCCATGTCTGCTCTGCTTGGAATGCATCCGCTCACAAGACGTGACGATAAGCATGTCCCCTTCCCCTCACATCTGTCTTGCATTATGTCAAAAGATTCAGGCTCTTTACTCAGGTATAGACACCTCATCATTCTCAAAAATAGTTGTTTACAACCCTCATACAAAAATATTTTTTCATGGTACTGTACAGGTGTGACTTACACATGAGGCCTCCCAACAAGGACGTTATTGTTTTCTGCTCTCAGCTCTTTAAAGTGATTATCAGAAGAGGTATACATTTCAGGTGTGAAACACTTTGGTGAATGATGGCGTCACAAATTTGAAAGAATCTGTGCCACAACCAATGGAAAGTTCCATGTTTCCTTATAGTATTAACAAAGAAAGAAATTAACAATGACAGAAAGATGAGAAGACAGAGGTAGCTTAAGTCGACAAAGCAAAACAACCTTTTAAAAATTTATTTACAATGCACTGCTTAATTTGAGCAAATTGTAATAAATAAATAAATTAAATGAAACAAGTTGATGTACATTTGCACAAAAAACCATCTACAGTAAGACATAAAACGTGGTTGTTCAATAAATAGTTACAAATCAATAAATAAAACTTATGGTACAGTACTTCTAAAAATTTGGACTGAGAAGTTTCTGTTTTCTTTCTGCTGCTCTGGAGTTCATACCTTCTGGTGAGTGAGTTTCTTCACCTTCTGGAAATACAAAACACACAATTATTATAGGATAGGTATCAGGAATATCATAAGGCTCTCTTTTGCCACTTATAAATGGTAGTAACTCATTAACAAAGAAAACTGTTTTCTAACTTGATTATAACTGTCTATTAATGATTTACGAAGTGTTACAACCTAATTAATAACCTGATTATAAACTGTTCATAAACCCTTTATAAGGGTAGTCTTATTGTAGTGGGACCAATTTCACAAACAAAATATAATCTAAAACAATTTTCCAAGACACTTTCTGTGTTTTTCTTCATTTCCAAATACTAAATTCAAACCACAGACAACAGTGATGCAAAACCTAAGCTGAAGCTGAATTTTTTCTCTCGCTGTAGTTCTCAAACAGTCAATATAAATGCAATGTGACATGTTTAGCATTGCGATTTGTCCTTGTGTTCATTTTTCTTTGTTAAGTCAGAAAGATTACTAAACAAACGCAGATGGTTAATTACACTGACAGTAAGTTGGCTTAAATTACATTTACATCCCATCGCCGTTGCCTAGCACCTCACCTGCTTCACCTCACCCCCATTTTTTTCTATTGTGGGTAAATGGGGTACGGTACTTTTGCTTGAGGCAAAACAGTACAACTTTGTGTGGGCTCTACCCCACATCACTTAGGTGAGGAGGCCTCAGCACACTGAGCGAAATGTGTGCAATGTGAAAGATGTGGCTCCAACACCTCCGTGGTGCCTTAGGTGAGAGACTGTGGCCAGAAGTCAGACACCCAGTTCATGAAAGAGCTCATTGAGTCACCGAAAGCATGTCAGGAATGGAGCGTGGCAAGTGCGTAAACACATTTCGTTGCATCAGATGCTTGTCTTAATCTAATGTAATTTGCCAGATATGAAAGAGAGTCGCACTGGGCAAGCCAGATCAGATAGAATGGTGCCCCAAACTCCCATTCCTAAACAACACCTTGCCCGAGACGAGACTGCGTTCCTTACTTGTTTCTCCCTCAGACGACAATGCTGTTAACATTTGTTTGAAGCTTTTCTTTCTCGCTGCTCGTTCCCAGGTAAGCCGCCAAGAAGTTCTTCTGTGTCCTGTAACTAAGTGGGGAGAGTTGCCCTGTTAGTGCGTGCTACATGTCTGTGAGGAAGAGGAGCTCTTTATTAATATGCATGCAGAAATAACTAATCACTGCTATCTTTTGGGATTATTTGGCATTTTGGGAGCTGTACACCAGGGATCGCTCCTCGATCTATTTTGCGTCACTGTGCTAACATTGAACATTTACACTTGATCTTGTCAATGTTCCTACTATTTTTAGCCATTGGTGGCTAACAATGGCGATAACATCGCTTACCTGGATTTCAACTGACGGAGCACAAACATGAACTTTTGCACAGATTCCTACTTCAGGTTACATTTATCAAAGGTGTGACAGGTGAATTGGTGGAATGGTTCTGTGATAGCGCAGGAGATTACTTCTACTTGACCTTTGATCATCAGGTGCTCTTGTGAGCTTGGAGTCACACCATATAATGTTGCTAGGCTGCGCACTTTAGAGCTGTTGGGAAACTTTCTGAAGAAGCGTGTACAGTTTATGCTATTTGCTTGTTATGTTGATCCCATTGCATGAGCAGTGTGAAGGACTTACTGGGCACACATCATGAGGACGATGGTGGTACAGCTGATGAGGGACAGTACGACAGCGATGACAACCAACACCGTCTGGATCACTACTGTGTTCTTGCCCATGTCTGACTCTTTCTGCTCGGTTTTCAGCAGTCTGATCCCACAGCGTTCCCCATCATAACCCGGTATACAGCTGTGGGAGAGAACAAAACCCAGAACCTCACACCGGCTCTCACATGGCTCCCTCTCTCTCTCTCTCTCTCTTTCTCATATGGATGACAGACATAAATTCACGGTCTCAGGGTGGAGGTAGCTTCTGAGCACGCAACACTGCATGCGGATACATGCAAACACACCCAATGGACAGAGGAATGGGGAGGTATCACGCAAACATGCGTAAATACATGCTGGTGGACAGGGTAGGGGTCACGGGGGGTGGCGGCATTTTCACTTACATGCAGGTGGACGCTTTCAGGTCCTCCATGTATTTACAGTGGCCATGAATGCAGTAATCCTGGTGCGTGGTGGAGCAGGGATCCTCCATGTCAGTGTGCCCGGGGGGGTATTGCGTGTGGCTTGGTGTCTTGTGCGTGCTCTCGGGGGTGCCTTTGTTCTTGGACTTCCTCTTGCCCTTTCCCTTTTTCCGGTTCTTCCCTCTGTCCTCTGGCTTACTCAGAAGCTGAACTGGAAGAACACAACCGCAATCACAAATTCACTGCTGAGGAATGTCTCCATGTTGCAAGACAGCCAGTTACACACCTACCGAGCTCTTCAAAATAAGGGTACATGTGGGTGTGCAAACTCCCAGAAGGCTAAGCACAAAATATCTTAGAACACTGAATTTGGGCAATGAGGAAAAGCCTCTTCCACAGTGCCACAGTGAAAAGACACTAACTAAAGACAGAAAGCTATAGCCATCAAAAATGATAGAGGGATGAACATTTGCTATCAATCTGTATACCTTGAGGCAAATCTGCATCTGAGAGTGACCCTTCCTCTTGATCATGGTCTAGTTCTGCATCTTCCTCATTCTGAAGATCGATAGCTGCAGATGTCGTGTTCAGCTTGATGCGGTTTGGGGCTGTCGTGTGTGCCGTAACATCGGCTTTGGAGGGGTCCAACCCCAAGGTCCTGACGATGCTACAAACTGAGGTGTTGAATGTGATCAGTTGACTTAAAAATCACCTTAACAGCACCACAACAGCTAATCTGGTAACACAGACATCAGTTAAATTACACAGCTGGCAGGGAACTTGGGAGTTTGCATGGCAGCCTGGAAAAGTTACTCAAAGCTGCCCAACAAGGTGCAAGACAAGCTAGAGAAGTGAAACAAAAGTCAGAAATAACACATATTGTACGACACAAACGTTCAGGAGCAAACAAAAGAAAAATTATCTTAAGCAAACGCCCCTGTTATACTTTAAGGACATATTAGGAATAAGTGCACTATAGGTTTGGTTTCAAAGCTGAGCAAAATCCCTCAGCTCAAAAGATAGGTAACATTAGTTCAGAATGAGGTGTGAACAGGTCCACACTTCAGGGAGCGAGATTTACCTGTGAGAAGCAGAGAGGAGAGAACAAGCACATTCATGTTGCGAGGCCAGCAGGGATGTCTGTGATTCAGGCTGAGCTCCACGAGAGTCTAGCTCTTCGTGTGGCTGTCTGCTCTGCGGGCGGAGCCTTTATAGCAGCTGCCACGTCATACACTCAAATCGCTAAGCCGAGATAAAGTGAGGTCTACCCTCAGGATTCCCTGTCTTCCCGGTCAGTTATCACAAAGGTGGTAAAATACCTTCAATTTCATTTCCTTTTTAATGTGTCTCACAGTCCCTGCATCCACCTGACTGAATGATTTCATGTAAGTGCACAGTGCAAACAGTAGTGTGGGCTTTGACAAGTACTGATCCAGAAATGTGGATCAGTTTTAATACTGTAGCATAGATCAGTGTGGATTAGTGACTGTATTGCTGTATGGATTGATGTGGACCAGTGTTAGTACTGAAGTGTGGGTCTGTATCAGTGGTGCAGTTCAGATAATTAAAGACCAGTAGATGGTCAGTGGTCAGTGGGACAGATGAACCATTGCAAAACTTTGTAACATGTTGAGACGTGCCTTGTTTTGTCTGGAGTCTCTAACAGTTCACATTGTTATCCATTCTTTTCCAACTGGAAGTGGCAGGTGGAATCCATTTGGAATCCTAGCTATTTGTGTATAAATGCTTTGGAGGGACAGGAATGAGTGGTCATAGTATGTTTTGTGTTTGACCCCCATGCTGTTGCATATCGTAAGACTATGGAAGAAAGTGTTGGAAAATTTTGGAAATTGTCAACAAGCAACAGACACTCAAAATCTGAGCTCGGAGTTTCCCAGACGATAAGACACATGCGTCAGAAAGGAGAGAAGAGAAAGAGCTAAACACAACGGACGGCCAGTTTACGTAGAAAGGCTCAGTTCAAAGCCCCGCTGCCGCTAACATCTCAATAAAAATGCAGTTCAGTAACTTTAGAAACACAACGATACACAATACCGCTATTGTTCAGCCCTCAAAAACATGCTTTCCTTTCACCTATATTGCTTGATATTTTATCCAGGAAGGCATAAAGAAATGTGACGTAAATCAACAAACAAAAGGTAGAAGCAACACCCAAGCAGATTCACAGCTGTCTGTTACATGAGCACGCTGTTTCTGAAACGTAAGACCATGTATCCTGAGATGTAAAACAAGTGTTTCTTTGGTGTAGGAATAGAATTTTTTTTAAATCATATGACCTACATAAATCTGACCTGCAGATACTGACCTAACCTAAAAAACTGACGAACGGCACATTTTCTACAGTAAGAAACATAGTGATGTTGGAGTTTTTAGCACTAGTGTGTTACACAGGTCAGCATCTATCATCACGCTGCTATGAAGTCTAAACATCTTTAGCGTTTTTAACACTCATCATATGTCATTGTCTAGGAATGGATTCCTTTCCACAGCCTTCATCATTCCAGCTCCTGCATGAAATATGTGAAATATTTTTAGCGTTAATTTATTTTTCGGATTAAAATGACTGTCTCTCCACAAAAGGAAATGAAGCCCTTTTCCCAAAAAGCAGTTCTTTTTTATATAGAGAGTAAGCAGCCAGCCATCTTCACCATATACAGTAACATATTTTATAATAAAATAATTTGCTAACTGTTTTCAAAGTGATTTACAGAGCCAATCCAGTTATGGATGAAAGAGCTCATTTGCTGGATTGAGGTGGAATACGGGTACAATAAAAGATAACTCAGTTCTTTTGTGCATTTTTTTTCTTTTTACTTTAGCAGTGCTTTACACGTTTGCATTTTCATGCTGTTGACCGCAGCATTAGTGCGTCCAGGTAGTGAGTCTGTGAGGGCAGCGGGGTGTTCGGAGAGGCCATGGCGAATGCTGATGAGAGCACGGCTCTGTGCCCATGGCACGTAATGGCCCCACTTACGGCTTCCGACAGGAGGGTTGCGGGCAAGCTTAATGAACTGCTGCCACTATTTATAATCGTATGAATACCTCATTAAGCAGAAAGCGTATGCTGCACCGCGTGCCGGGAGGATGGACCCTTTGAATTTTGAAAATTAACCGAATTTGAGAGACTGCTAACGGTTATTAAACTAGGCGCTGGAGAAAATAGTCGAATGGGCACAGGAAAAAAAATGTCATTAAATTCTGAGTTTTATCTGCAACACATTAGCGAACCAGGAATAATTGTGCACAAGACAGCTGGAAGTGGGTTACTTGCAGGCTGTGTACCTTGTTCTAGGGTACAATAGGAACACTGGGTCGAGTGCAGAACCAGCAACGTTCTGCTGTGAAGTTCCAGACCTGATGAGCGAAAGAAAAATGTAGTGCTTCTCTAAGCCACTATTTTGTGCCAGACTTTGACTTCCTGGGAGAAGGCAAGACCTTTCAAGTCTCATTCTTTTGTCATAAAAGTTGCATTGAATGCAAACAATGAAGGTTGCGCTGATTTGAATAGTGCTGCAGGTGGCGTGAGAAATTCCAGTGTGCTCTCTTAAAGGAAAGTGGATTTCCACCTTCAGAACAGAGTGATTCCTCCACCAGCACACGCCACTCAAGCTTAATCAATCATTCATATAACCTTTCATGTGTGGAATGGAACAAATATATGGAATGATTATACAGGTTGAAAATACGGTTGAGATCTATACATTACTCTTGGATATTCTCCTAGTAGTACACATACTATTATTTACCCTGATTCATTGATATATGTGTCAAAAATTTGCAGTCATTGTGAGAAGTTCTTTATGAGCAAAACGCACTGGCTAAGCCATACTGCCTTCTTTCTCCAGCGACTTGTAAAGCAAGCAGGTGCTTCAGGAAAGTTTCCATTTGCTGTCTCTATGAATGACAGCATGTGTCCATAAACAGTTTGCTCCGCCGAACACAAAAGGCTACGTGCAGCTACCCTGACACCTCAGATTCATATTTCATGCATAGCTTCCATATTTTCAAGAACACAAATGTTTACATAGCTTGGGAAAATTCCGTTGCTGCTAATCGGTTTTCGGTTTCAGCTATGCTCGTCGAGGATTTCTGAGGATCTCACTCATCTCAGGACCCGTATCAGGCTTAGAGGCCTTCAGAGAGAAGAGTAGCAAGGCCTTGAGCATGGGGTGCATACTATGTGCAGGTCCACAAATGGGTTAAGGAGACCATGAAGTTTATGATTGCCATCATGGTTTATCATTTCATCACTCAATGTGTAAAATGGATCATTTCTTTCACGGCTATTCTTTTGTAAACTGGAAGCTGTTATCCAAATATTGTTTCACAGCTCCCATCCCTCTAAGGTTGCTGGTTTGAGTCAACAGAAAGACTTTCAGCAAAAACTTATGCTCAGCAAACAACCAGTTGTTGTTGTAATTACAGAAGCATAAAGCGTTGCTGGAAACTGAATATGCCTAGTAAGAAACTGAATGTGGTGTAACCGCTAATATATCACAGCAGTACAATGAAAACCCACAGGGCATCAATAAAGCATAATGCACATTTTAATATTAACATAAAATTATTTTATTTTCCCAATTTCATAAAACAATAACAAATCCTGCTTTTATAAATACAAACAAAATATTTTGCATACAAATATTTGCTTTAAAAATGCTATAAAAAATATTATGTAAAGAGAAACTTCTAAAAAAAAATAACATTTCAAATGCTTGTACTCTTAGGTCTTTAGCACTGTGACATCAATATTATTGCATGAACGATCCATGTGCAAAACTTTGTGAGGAAGGACAAATGCAGGGTGAAATATCTTCCCTGCACTGTCAAACACTAACCGATTTACTCCCAAGGGAAACAATAACATTATCAATGGGAAGAGTGCTAACCAGTCAGCAATCAGCAGCACATGGCAATCTGATCCACGATAGCTTTAAACACTGACGCCAAGTCCACTCACAATACTACCACAGTTCAACTGTTGACTTACAGAATGATAATACTTTCATTACACCATTTCATCATGTTAATTTAAATATTTATCAGTCATTTATAATTTAGTTGTCGTCTTAAATTAGGAATGAATCACTTGAAATATCTACAAAACAACTGCTGCCCAAAAACCATACCCCATTAAAAAAGGCATTCGAGGGCTTGACAAACACACATCTAGACACTAACGCAGGATGCTCATTTAATGTTTTTTTTTCTTTTTTTTTTTTTTACAAAAATGTAAACATGCAGAGACATCCATATAACAATGCATCATTTGTAGTTTTGCAGTGGAGTATGTCTGTTTATTGGATCAAATATTCCTCCTGGGGGACCGGTTCTTCTGCAACGGAGGTTTTGTTTGTTGGGTGGAGATTGGCGGCCACTTACTTTTGCCGACTCCCCTCACTGTGCTATTCAGTTGTGAATCAGAGTAAAGGACAAGAGTGCTTCTTGGCAGGCTGAACGAAAAGGACAGGTCCAGTTCAGAGAATGCTGCACCTCCCAGAAACAGACACCTGGGAGGACACTCCCATGAGACCCGTGACTCACACAGCCCCGCCCTTGCAGAAATTAAAAGCATGACTGTCGTAACCACAAAACCGGTACACTATCTGCCAATGACTCCAACTGACATTTTTACCATGTTTCTAGCAAGATTAAAGTCCGTAAGAATATATTATGAATTCCATATATATAAAATTTTATATATATATATATATATATATATATATTTTTTTTTATTTATTTGTAACTTGAGTTCTTAAAACACCTGTTGAGCTATTTCTCATTATAAATATGGTCAAACTCATAGTCAGTACATAAAGGAACACACACACATACACACACACAGCTGTTGCTCAAGCCATCTGCACTTCCTGATACATTTTCTCTGGAGGTGGTCTTCTGTTCTTCTGGGACCTGTCCAGACAGAAAGAGTTTTGTAAGAGTCAACCAGATGAGACACACACACACACACACACACACACAAGTGGGCATACTCACACACACACACAAGTGGGCATACACACACACAGGCGGGCATACACACGTACACATACCACTTGATGCTGAAGTAGAGGAGGCCTGCAATCCCAATGAGCAACAGCCCAACACACACCACGGTGAGGATGATGTGCTCCTCACTTATTGTTGGCTGAATGATCTTGTCTAGATCTAGAAGTTCACACCTGGGTCCAACATAACCTAACTGACACCTGGAGCACGACAAAACATTCAAAGTCAACACACAGAGTTACAGCATTTGCATCTTTTTTTTTTAAGTGATCAATTGTCATTGTTGACACACCACAGCACACAGTGCACAACAACGAAATGTGTCCTCTGCATTTAACCCATATGTGACCACGTGACATAGCAGGGGGCAGCTAATTCAGTGCCTGGGGAGCAGTGCTTGGGGGCGGTACCTTGCTCAGGATACCTCAGTGGTGCCTTGCTGGTCGGGGATTTGAACCTGCAATCTTACAATTACAAGTGCACTTCCCTAACCATCAAGCCAACATAGGCCGTGGTTTTACCCTAGGGGACCATTTCTGATAGATCAGTGGTCATTTAACCCAGCCTGTGCTCACCCCTGCCCCTCCCCAACAAAGCAAGCCCCCCCAATTAGACCACCTATTTACCTGGCTCTGCCCATCAAAACATATAATAAAATACGTGGAATATGTATGTGGCTGAGTGGGGACTGAGCTGCGAGGCACTATGACAGGTAACTGAAGTTTATATAACGCTATAACACCACGAATGGGTAACCTGCACACCAGTAACCAACTGGCTGCTGGAAATAACGAAGATTAGGCCCAGTGCCGGTTTCCACAGAAGCAGACAAAGTATGACTTTACAGCTGTGGCTTTAAAGCGGGGCTGGTGCCGAAGCTGCAAGCCCAGGCAGAAGTGCTTACTTGCAGTGGGGGTCGGGGATGTCCACCAGCTGTATGCACTCCCCGTGAATGCAGTAACCTAGGCTGGAGTTGCACTTCTGAAACATCACCCTCTGGACCAGGGGGGTTTCTTGTGACTTTGAGCACTGACCTGGCCCACACGTGGGGGGCGGGTTTGTAGTATCAGCATAACAGCCCAGCAGCAACAGACCTGAAGGATACATAGAGAGAATATGTACCTGCAGTTTATAAATTTGCCATAATTAGTGGTTATTTTTGCTTTTACAGCTAGCTAATAACATTGGCATGCTACTCAAAGTCAGTTTCATTCAATACATAGTGAGCATTTTTTTAATTGTCGCAATGCTTTATATTTTCACAGTATCCAGAACTGACGAGAAGCTAGGGACTAAATACTGAAGTAGGGCATGGTAAATATTGTACTAGTATAGAGAAATCAATTTATTTTTAAAGTGAAATGCATTGCCAGACAAAGACCAAAGACCAATCAGAAATCGCTGAAAGGAAGGTTAACAGTCATGATTAGCAGCATGAATTTTATCTACACAGAATTCGCAATAGAATGTTTTCTTGGAAAAAGAAAAAAAACCTATTCACACAGCATGTAACATAAGTGTAATTCAATTGTCTGGTGGCATTCATCTCTAAAACAACAAATACAATGATTCTGAAGAGGGCGAGGGTTTCTTTGAGGCTATGTTGATTTGCTCGAAACATTGTAATTTACATGAGGAACAGGCAGGATTAGGACAGACAAAGACTGTAAAGTAGTGAAAAGTGTGTAACCAAAGACTCCAAATAGCTTTTATAAACGTAATGGGGGATGTCTAAAAAGAACTAGTCTGGGTTGGTCTTTATGTGCCAACATCCTTTTCACAATTTCCCACCTTTTCCTAGTTTGTTGTCATGGGTAGCTATGGTACAGTCTTATGGTTGCTTTCCTTCTGCTTTTGGGTGGAACAACTACTATAACAGGCTTCACTAATTCTATTATCACATAATGTAGCTGACACATTTTTCTAGGACTTCCTGGTCATTACATGCCCAAAACTGAAAGGAGTTAAAAAAGGACAAAATGCATGTTCACCCTCTACCTCCCCAATACCTTCCACAGTGTCCTGGTGCCATCACGGCAGCGAGGCTAATAGTTCCTCTGGGTGTGGTGCTTCAAAAGCTTACAGCCCCGTTCCTGTATTGCAAGGGCACCTGAGTCTGATGGCAAACCTGCCAAGACACAAGCCACTAGATGCTGCTTAAATCATTATTGACTGATAAGTCATGCAAATTTCAAGGGTTGAATTACACCTGGGAGATGAGCTGGTCACCAGCACAGGCGGTTTCTCTCAACGCGCTACCAGCTAACAACACCAGGATTGTGAGAAGCTTGAGTTCTTGATGAGGTCACCAGCATACCCCCAAAAAAATGGAATTACACTTCTCCCCAGGCCAAAACTTTCACAGCAGCCGGATTTCCGGTAGACTCTTCCCTATGAGCAGTCCCATCATAGAGAGGCAGGGCAGGCCTGCATTCCAGCAGCCATCGCGATGCTGCGGCATGTTGGGACATAGCAGATGCACGCCCTGTGTTACATCTGGCCAAGAGGGAAATGTGCCTCATAAGTATCCAGGGAATACTGTCTCAAACATGCTCCCACCCTTTCATTATGACACAGATTTAAAAAAAAAAAACTTATACACTATACTACCAAAAGAATTTCTTCCATAAAATGGATTAGGGCAATTAGATGCTATTAAAAATTTATGGACGTGGCCTCACGTAGAAAGTGAATTGTGCTAAAGTACGATGTATGAGAAACACCTGACACTGCTGGATGAGTACGCTCAGTGTCTCATAGTAGGAATTTATTCACATTTATACACAGACAGCTGTATGAATATTGGAAGCATTCATCCAAAACACAACGCTGGGGTGTCTGTTTATTCGGCTGCTAACCCTACTGTATTCACACTATTATTTGACCTGCAAAGGTGTTTAAGTACCCAAGGCAATGTGGTAATGTGAAAAATCCCTGGGGGGCACGTTAGGGTGTCCTAACATGTAGGTATGGGAGGTGGCGCAAGGCAAAACAGTGTGGTGGGTGCACCCATGATGCAAGGGCAACGGTTGTCATTAGTTAATATTCGTAATCTCTGCCATTCCAATCTGCGTGTCTTCGGGGCACAGTAGCAACCAGCTGTAAAGATTAAATATGTGTTAGCAGACGAGGCAACAGTTGTTCAGCATGTGATGGGAGGGGAACTTCCTTTGTGGTGGTTCGGAGTGGGGATTATTAGACAGGCCTTTCAGGAAGGAGGAGGTGATCCCATCAAGGCCACCGCCCTCTACTTCACAGGTGATTATGTTACACTGAGGAAAAAGACTTCAGAAAAAATTCTGATCTTTAAAATGCCACATGGTGAAGTGGTTTGCAAAGCAAACAGAAGCTGCCTTGTGTTCCCATTACCTTATAATCTGTATAAATGCTACCGTGAACTTTGGCCAGAGGGAGCCTTTGATCTCTACAGAGAATATATGTGTAAAGTGTCTCATAGAAATTAACTCTCTTCCTTGGCTTGTAAATCTGCATGAGAAAAATAACCCTGCTTTGTACCCATATCCACACACGGTGTGCAAGTTCTGCCTTTTCCTTGGAGTTTGGTTCAATCCCCCGTTTAATCTCCTGCAAACCCTTTTAAAAGAACATGGAGTTTCATTCACCCATCTGCCCCCATTAAAACCATACACAGATGTCATGTCTCCCAGTCAGTTAGGCATTACTTGTGAAACCAGGGGTCAGACAAAAAGAGAGGAGTTGCCCCTGGACAAACAATGAAACAAAAGCAGGGCAGTAATTTATGTGCCATTTTGTGGCCAATCACAAGAAAGCATGAGCTGAACACCGTTTATATATCTGAAGAGTGTCCAATCATGTTGAAGAATGGAGAGCAGCACAAATCCATAATGCGGTTACACACTGTAGGGTTGTAGGGTGTATGTACATCTAATGCTGCGGTTCACCACGGGATTAAAACACTTATACTGTAGTCATCCCAACGGCATAAGGCCGGTGTTACGATATCTCATAGAAAGTGCTAGATATTCTGCCTCCAATCTCTGAATGATTCCTAAAATAGGTTCATTGTCCAAATTTTAGTAATTGGATTTGGATACTTGGCTAAATTCCAGTTACTTTGTATTTCAATGTTCTTAGGAAAAGTTCTCCATACTCAGAGAGAGTGCCCTTCCTGTGAATGACTGTCAGTTAATTGGGATGCCAGATGCGTTTTATGGCTTTGATGTAATACTTGCATATAAACCGTTAGCTCTTTGTTCATTGAAACAGCAGCTCTCCACTCCAGACTGACACGCATGCTAATGCTAAGTTTAGAGTGAAGTTGAATAATACTGGCAGACTGCTTTTAGGTGTTAGGTATAGCCGATATTTCAGGAGCTAGACTAAAATGACAAACCACAGGGCAACTGAAAGGAATAATAATACACTCAAAATTACTGAGCTGCTGTGAGTGTCGTTATTTGTAATTTACACCAGTACATCCTACTACCCAGCGATGCCATAAACAACATGGCACCCTCTCACAACACTCTGCGCCAGGCCTGGACCTCATGAGTGCCCTGGAGCTTGGGGCAGTGGAGAGCTCCATGAGAGCCGCGTCACTTAGTTGTTTACATTTTGTTTAGCAGACACTTTTTTTTTGTCAGAAGTGACGTGAGAGTGAGGATCAGCCAGCCCCTGGAGCAGGCCCATGCTTAATGGCCCTGCAGTGACATCACTCCGGCAGCCCTTGGATTTGAACCTGTGACTTTCTAATTACGCAAGCAGAGCACCAACCCACAGAGCCACACGCCACGTCGACCGCAGGACAAGTTGTAGTATTTGTCTGTGATTTTTGGGCTGAGGCACTACAGAGAGTGACCACATCTCATAGAATTGTGACTCAGCACCCACTCAGCACCGTAAGTGTGAGCACACCACGCCATTCAGAACAAGAGAAAGGCAGTTAATGATCTGCGCATATAGTCAATGGTGTAAGAGGTATATGGCATGAGCTCTTGAAGAAGGAAACACTCCCACTGAAAGTCACATGTCAAGCAGTACTCTCCGGAAGAGACAGGAAAAAAGTCTCAGTTATGTTATTCAGCTAAGTACACACATCCAAGTGCACACAGGGTAAACGCACCAAGTAAGCCCTGCAGTATTTCCTGGGTTACAAACTGTTATAGAATGGAGTGTAGCCTGATACATTGTCTGCAATTCAACAAGGTATACAAGTCATAGCAGTAAGAGAAATCTAATCTGCCAGAATACACGGGGGATAGACTGTGTATGAATTATCCTGCAGTGGAAAAAAGGTAGCAATCTTAGGTAGCAATATATTATTTATTGGCTGTAATGAAACATCAGGTATAAACAATTCGTAGATGAGAAAATGGTAATTGCTATTAGACATGCGTAAATTTCTGAGTAAAGATTTATATCTGCAGTCCCGTGGTTATGAGAAATGTAAACTCTGCTAGTAAAACACGTCATATGACAATGATACTTCGAATGAATAGCAAATTTCCTCAGAATCTATTCACTTCACTACGCTTGCTGAGTATGCACTTTTTAAAGTTATTAAACGTATAGTGTATTCAATATTGTTCTAAATATCCCCTAAAACTCATTAATTCTTGGGGCTGTAATTCGCCAGAATTGGATGACTTGCCAGCGACAGTCACACTTTCCCTGATGATTTACATGAATAATTAAAGGTGTTTTTTCGTATTTCGATTCATATGACTGTTGATCTTAATGACAGTATACAGCTGTCTGGTTTCATCTGATACCAACTTTGCTGTGACGTATAGATTAAGGTATTAAAGTCTGTATAACACGAAAAATACTTTCGTAAAGACTACAGTCGTCAGAAGAAATAATTCGTCAAGTAACACAAACGTTCAGCGAAACATTATATGTTTTTAGATATTTTAGAAATTATTCCTTAAAATATAAAATCCCACTATAGGCTTTCCCATGCGATTAACATTTACGTGTTTAACTGGTTGAATATTAAAACTATCATAAAAGAACACAAAGAAATGTAGCAACAGGTAGCCTATAAAATTAATAACATAATACAATTATTTTACTCTATACTTTTTCATATCACTGAGCGTTTATGTCCATTTCATAGAGCGATCCACAAGAACGTACACTTTTTGTTTTAAAGAAACATTTATAATGTAGGCTACGATATCCCGGCACTAAACCCCATAAATAGCTGATAAAGAAGATCTGTAACTTACCATAAAGCGCCAGGAATAAACTCGCCTTGATGTCACCCATTACCGCTCGACTAGAGCGAAGCCGATGTTAGATTCAACGCCTTGTGCGTCACCGCTTTTGCTTAAGTATCCACGTACGCTACCTGACAGGTACGCGTCTATCGCGATCGACCTTTACAATAAAAGAGAAGGCGGTGATGACACGGCCCCGGACGTGGATTTGTCTGCGCGCTTGCGGTTGTTTTTTCATTTTATAGATTAAAATGTAGATTGTGTTGGTGGCGCTCATAAGAACACAGATTTATGGTGCAAAAGTAGTTATACAATAAATAAGTTCCGGGTTATTTTCCTGCGGCGTCTTTCATCTTTGTCTTTAATTATGTTCGGAAATAGCACTTGGAGCAGCTGATTGTAAGGTCCAAAGTAATAACGTTACTCCATGTCATACCATGAGCGAGTGTCTTTAACGCACAATTAGTTAACAAAAGGTATCGTATATCATCTCTGTGGGGAAAAGCATAAAATAGAAAGGAAGCAATTAGGCATAGGTGTGTCTAAGGCAGGTTGTAATGCAATTCATTCCCTTCCTCAAACACTCAAATTTAAACCTCCTTTTTACAGGAGTTTTAATTGCTCATGTATCCCTGTCCTTCTTTGAAGTGAAGAAATCACCCCGTGGTGTTTTCAGAGTTTCAACATCAGTCCATCTATCTCCTTAATAACTGCTTACCCAATGCATGGTAGCACTGAGCCTCCAACCTGTCCAAGGAAACTCAGGACACCAAGCTATGAAATATTTTTACAGTGTACTTCTTATGTCAGTGGTTGCAAACTGCCCGATCACGATCAACAGATCAGTCTTCATGACATTCATAACCAATTGCAATGCCCCCCCCCCCACACCTTCCCCCCTCAGTCGGCAAAATATACCATCACAGCTCAGTAGCTTCCCAGATCATTTTCTTTGTAAAAGTTGCTCTTGCTGTAAAAATGGGTGGAGGCCACTTTTTCTTTGGAAATTAAACACTTTTGCCCAGGGGCTGAGTGGCAGCCTGGGAAGTTGCTTTCACTAAGCAGCCCCAATTTGATATGCCCCCCCCCCCCCCTTGGTATATTTTGCTGCTGACTGGGCAGTGGTACATTTTGCCATTGATTGGCCCTCATTAGACTTTACCACTGGGAAATTTCCTAAACTTCCCGTTGGCCAGTCCACGCCTGCAATTGCTAACTTACAGTAATGATATGGATATAATGTGGTCCTTTAGAAATCCCAGTCATCCATTGATTTTCCATAACTGCTTGTATAGTCAGGAGTCATGGTGAGCCTGGAAGCCCACAAGCACGGTTAACATTTTAACAAACAGTGCCGCCTAAAGGAAAAATGTGGAACAATCTTTTTAACAATGAGCCCAAAAAAAAGAGGTTGGTGACCAAGGGTAGTGTGTCCTTGTAACTGAAATATAAATCCAGGATTTCCGTGGCGAAACAGGTTTCTTACTAAAAAAAACAAGGTTAAAGCGACTGGGTCAAAGTATGAGAATAACAAGGTTTTCTTTTAATACTACATGAAAAAATCTCAGGAACTCATTGGTCCATTTCATAAGTTCTGATTCCCAGAATTAGATATTTTGTGTTTTTCCAAGGGGTATTGAGCACCCCCTTGTGGATAACAGACAGCAAAACAACACTATCCATCGAAAACAGAGTGCTTTTATTAGAAAATTACTGTAAAGGTGCCATAGAGTGAAAATCTGACTTTACCTCAGAAGAGTTGAAAAAGGAGAGTTCAATATATAGAAATGACATAGCATGAATCTCACAGATGCATGAATCTCAAGCTTTCTGTCTGGAGTTGATAAAATCATTTGTTGTGTCAGATGAAAGAAAAAATTCAGTGTTCTTGTTACAATCCTGAAAACAAAGTTATGATTATGCTAATGTTGTGCTAGGCTGAGGTGACACTATTACAGTTATGTGTGACAAATTGGTTCTATGTGAACCGTGCCTCACTGTAAACCCACCAATCAGAGCAGAGCTTATTAACATATTAATGAGCCCACTAAATAAATCAAAACAGTCTGTTTCATTCTAGGGCCAAATTATAGGGTTGTTGGTGGGCCTGTAAAACCACTTTTGTACATTTTTCGACCAAACCGACTTCACATACCTTCTATGTAGATTCCAGAGAACAAGTTGAAGAAAGAAAATCCATTCTATGGCACCTGTCACACCCGGCTCGTCCGATCCTTGTATGTGCCACGCCCCCCTCGTTACCTCGTGTTAATTCCCGATTGTATTCACCTGTTCTGTTCAGCGTATCCTGTGTATTTAGTCCGTGTCTGAGTCAGTGTTCCCCAGATCCGTCATTAACGTAGTATAATGTTTAGTCGCTGTCAGCCCCGTTTGTACTAATAAAACCCTGTTTGCCTGTATTTACGGCTCGACTCGCCTGCTTTCCCGCTCGCCTGCTTGCCTACACAACAGAATGACGAATCTCCTGGAAAGTACAGCGCAGTAGACCGAGCACCAACGGCTCGGTCTGCTGCAAGAAGTTGTGTACTGGCTGTCCCAACCAGAGGTCCAGGAGGACCCCGTAGCCCAGGACTTAGCCAGCCGGAGCGGGGACCTCTTGAGTGAGGTACCCCCTCCGCGAGGTACGCGAAAACCTCCGACAGCTGGTCGAGAGGATAACGGAGAGGCAGCTCCAGCCACTCGCTTGCTCCACGGCCGCCCTGCCTCAACCGACCAGTCAAAGCTGGAGGAAAAAGAAGAAGAGGAGAGAACAACGCCAGGGAGAAGAGCCGGCGATCTTCCTGAGGGCATGCTCTCTCTCTCCTACTTCTCTTGTCGTCACCCCGGACGTCACCGCTGCTGCCTGTCTGCAGGTATACATCACCAACCCTGCCGACGAGATGCCGCCACCCCTGGCAGCGTGCCATTACCGGGTATCGCGCCTATTCAATAGGGGGGCTAGGGCCGTTTGGGATGCCATTCCCTGGATCCCCAAGGCCCTTAAAGGGGCAGCGCCTGCACGCCCGGCGCCAACCCTGGCGCCTATTTTTGATCTACCCGTCGTTCCAGATCTGCCCATCGTGCCTGACCTGCCTGTTCCTGACTTGCCTGTGCCTGCTGCTGCGCCTCCTGCTGCCGCGCACGAGGCTCCTGCTGGAGCAGTTGCTGCTACGGCGCCTCCTACTGGCCGCGTGCTGGTGGTGCCTGCAGTGGCGCCCCCTGCTGGCCACACGCCCGAGGTGCCTGCTGATGCCGCCACTCTGCCCGCGGCATCGCCTGCTGCCACCCCTCTGCCCGCGGCACCGCCTGATCCGCCTGTCCAGCCCGGCTCGCCCGTCTCGCCTGACCCGCCTGTCCAGCCTGGCTCGCCTGTCCTGCCCGCAGGGCGTCTCTGCCACACTCCTGGGGTTTCCCAAGGAGGAAGTCAAGCAGCGACTGTAGCACTTCCCCTCCACCGGTCCCGGGAACTGGCAGAACTGGTTACTGTATGCCTTCAACTATCAGCTGATGCCCATCGGAGTAATGAGAGAGCCTTCTTATTCACGTCTGGCACGCCAACCATTCTTTGCTAAGTTCGAGCATTCTGTGTTACGCTCCAGTCTAGGGTTGGAGCCAAACAACGTAGAAGGGAAAGAGGGAATGGGAAGGACAAGACAACCAGGGGCTAAGAGAAGGGAACACAGGACACAGAGGGAGTCTTTTTTTATGGTTTTTTAATAATTTTTCACAGACACTTTACAAACACTAGGTGTAACAGACTTCAGGTGTGACAAAGGCCAAAGAAACAAACAAAAACACAGGTACCGAATACAGCCCCAATCTAAGCTTAACGTAAGTGAAAACAAAAGGTGTAAAACGAAACAACAATGCCTAAGCCTAACTTCTTAACCAAACAAATAGTAATCCCCACGACACGCAAAAACAAAAAGGCAGTCATCATTACACACAGCCAAAGCAAAGGTATCCAAAGGAGTATCAAAGAGGCAAAGTCGAAATACAGGCGATAGATCAAAACCAAGGCGAAGGTACAAGCAGGGACAAGGCGAGAATCGAAAACCAGCAACAAAACAGTCATACACGAGAGCAATCATACAAAAGCAAAGCGAAGGAAAAGAGAGTTAACAGGCGAGAAGCAAGCAGCCGAAGTGACGAAGCGGCGGCCTCTTCTGTCTGCGAACTGGAAACTGCTCCTTAGGTGAGGGAGGCAGGGCCAGGTCCAGAAGGCGGAGTCGAAGGAGCGAGTGACAAAGAGGACTGGGCAGGACATCCTCCCAAAACTTATGGCACGTAACACTTACGGCATATACCCGAAACTTACAGCATGCTATACATCTATCCCATTATTCCCCTACCTGTCCTTTTTTCCCTCTTCCTGTATATATGTAGAAGATATTAAATCTATTCACCGGACTCCTCCACTTTAGCGTCCTCCTTATTTTCTGCTACCCACACCGTGACAGCTATGGTTGTTGTTACTGCACAAATATGACAGAACATCCACCTCTCATCTGTATGTAGGCTTGCTCTCATTTCACATGAGGCCTATTAGAGTGGTGTCATTCACAAACCTGGGGAGTTTGACATATGTGTCCCCAGAGATGCAGTCAATTTTGTACAGGGAGAAGTGGGGAAAGAACCAGTCCTGAGGGTTAAAGGTTGAGCATGTATTTGCCTAATGGCACATACTGCGTTCTATCTGGCAGAAAGTCTGTGATCCACTGACAGATTGAACTGGGCAGACTGAATTGGGTGAGTTTCTTGTTTTTAGCAGCTCTGATGGTATTAAAGACAGACCTGATGTCTACAAACAAGATCCTCACGAATGCTACATTCACTGTCATCTACTGACTTGTTGGTTCTATAAGCAAAATGCAAGGGATCAGGAAAGCTTCTGATCACATTCTTAACTCATTATAGGATAATGCATTAAATGGTCTTCATTACAACATATGTTAGAGCAACTGATCGGTAATCATTAACTTAAAGCCTGCGATCTTTGATGCTATAGGTACCTGGGTGGTGACAGAGGTCTTGCAACAACGATGAGACTAAGTACAGGAATGAGGTAAATCAACTTGTCATGTGGTGCAGCAAAATCAATCTCCGCTTAAACGTGGACAAAACAAGGGTGATCATGATTAACTTCAGAAGATCGCACACCCAACACCCCCCGCTGACCATAAATGGTACTACCATGGAAAGAGTGAGCAGCACCAAATTCTTGGGGGTGCACATCACAGAAGACCTCTCCTAGTCAAAGAACACTGCATCAATGGTGAGGAAAGCCCAACAACACCTCAACTTCCTCTGTAAATTAAAGAGAGCTAGTGCCCTGGTACCAATCATGGCCTCCTTCTATCGAGGCACCACGGAAAGTATCCTGACCAACTGAATCACTGTGTGGTTTGGAAGCTGCATGGCCAACGATTGAAAAACCGAACTTGGAAGTTACACGGAACTCCTAAAAAAGAGAGGTAGTAGAGCAAAAATTGAGC